TATTTCTTTATACATTGCAGGGTCTATTACAAGCTACGAAACGAATACAAAACAAACTTATTTATATTTACATCTATTACGAACGTTCTGTACATTAATATGTGTTTCGGTTAATCTATAATATTTCCTTGTAATAATATTTTTATCTGTTTATTATATTTTGTTTATGTCAGGATCTTATTTGACTTGTAACAATGCAAATCCTAATTAACTTTATATTGATAATTATAACTTAGCCAATGTGACGTATCTAATTTCTATCCCTAGTTCGCTGGATGTCTGATAATCATCATCCTCCTGGAGCTGTCAGTGGGTATAGCAGCAGCGGCTCTGCGTCCCCAAATCGAAAGCTCCATGAAGAAGCAGCTGAGGGCCTCCTTCATCAAGAACAAGTCGATCAGGGAGGAGGATTCTTATTACAGAACCTTCTGGGACCGCATTCAGAGCAACGTATGTATCAGTGAAAGCCTGGTCCGTGAGCACGTAGAATTTTGTCCAATGACCCCAAGCTACCCACCCTTATCGCTCGCGCGTAATTATATTGCTGTCGCGAATGTGCGACGCGCGCCCGCAGTGAGCGATAAGGATGGGTAGCTTGGGGTCATTGGACAAAATTCTACGTGCTCACGGACCAGGCTTTAGATTCTAAAATAGGTACACTAAACTGCAACTTAGAGTACTCTTCGATAGCCGGAATAGCCCGCAGAATTGCGACACTTAAAACCTTGTCCAGGAGAGCGAATTCTACGCGCGCAGAATCATACGCGTTTAGGCGAGATACTAGGAGCCAATACATTGCGTCCACACGACACGTGCGAGTTGACGCAACATACGCTCGTGTTGGAAAACGTAGCGTGGGCAGGCCTCCTACTAGGTGGACCGACGATCTGGTAAAGGTCGCGGGAAGAGCCTGGATGCGGGCAGCGCAGGACCGTTCATTGTGGAAAACCTTGGGGGAGGCCTTTGTCCAGCAGTGGACGTCATATGGCTGAAACGAACGAACGAACGACGCTCGTGTTCGCGCGTAGGATTCGCGGTAAATTCGCCCTCCTGGACAAGGCCTAAGTGGCAGTGCACCACATACTTTGAAAGGAAAAGTTCTCGAGTGACGGTCTGACCAGGGTCTTGGGAAGAACCGGGATGCGGGCAGCGTAAAACCGGTCGTTGCAGAAATCCTCGGTGGACACCTTTGTTCAGGATTGAACGTCCTTTGGAAACTATCGAACGCAAATGCATAATAATCTACATTTTGGATTTGTAAGTGTGCTTATTAATATCCCAGTTGACTGTAAGACTGTCACCCTCTCTTAGCACCAGCTCATAATATGTTGCCCCGAAGTGGTGGTTGGGCAAGCTATTGGGACGTGTATAAGCGCCCTGGAAAGGGTCTAAGTACTGAATCGCACCACCAGCTCGCACTAAGCGTTTCGATTACTCGTTTATGATGCGAACAGCTAGGGACTGGAATTCGCTGCCTGCTGTTGTCTTTCATGAACACTATAATCCGGCCTTTTCAAGGCGAGAGTGAATAAGCACTTACATGGCGGATATCTACCATCGTAGACTGCATCTCACTTACAAGTGCGATTGCGGTCAAATACCTTCCTTGTGTTACATAAAAAAAAAACTTTAACTTTGACTTCTTCAGATGGAATGCTGCGGCATCAACGGCCCCGACAACTACGGCGCTCAAGAGCCCCGCGTCAACCCTCCCTACAGCTGTTGCCCTCCCGACTCGTCCGACCGCGCTGAGGAGATTAAGCGCTCCGACTGCCTCTCTGGAACCAACTACTACAAGGAGGGGTGTGAGGACAAAGTGCTGACCACCATCCATAGCGCGGGGTTGACTGTGATCGTCTGCGGCATTCTCTTCTGCTTCTTGGAGGTTAGTAGTTTGATATTTCCTCGTAGTTTTGGCTTCGTAACTCCAATTTCAGTCTGAAGCGCTTCTCTGGAAGCACTTACTACAAGGAGGGGTGTGAGGACAAAGTGCTGACCACCATCCATAGCGCGGGGTTGACTGTGATCGTCTGTGGCATTCTTTTCTGCTTCTTAGAGGTTAGTAGTTTGACAGTTCCTCGTAATTTTGGCTTCGTATCTCCAATTTAAGTCTTGAAGCGCTTCTCTGGAAGCAACTACTACAAGGAGGGGTGTGAAGACAAAGTGCTGACCACCATCCATAGCGCAGGGTTGACTGTGATCGTCTGCGGCATTCTTTTCTGCTTCTTGGAGGCTAGTACTTTGACAAAATGTTGGTTTACCAGTTCTATTAACTGAATCAAACTCTTCATTCACCTCTCTGGAAGCACCTATTACAAAGAAAGGTGTGAGGACAAAGTGCTGACAACGATCCATAGCACAGAGATGACTGTAATAGTCAATGGAACTCTCTTCTGTTTCTTGGAGGTCGGTACTCTATAGCTTGGCATAGTTTTAGATTCTCAGCTCTACTGACGAACTCAAGTTCTTCAAGTGTTTCTCTGGATGCTAATAATACAAGGGGTATTGAGGACAAAGTTCTGACCACCATCCATAGCGCGGGGTTGACTGTGATCGTCTGTGCTGGCATTATCATTCTGCTTCTTGAAGTCTTTCTCTCTTTAGTTTTACAGTTAAAAGTTTCTTTTGCATTCTTAACTCTGTAAAAGAAATCAAGCTCTTCATTCGGCTCTCTAGAAATACCTACTACAAGGAAGGGTATGAAGAAAAAGAAAAAGGTTCTTAACCGGTGGTCCGCGGACCACTGGTGGTCCCTGGAGGCATTCCAAGTGGTCCGCGAAGACATCGTAATAAACAAGTGACGTGACGTGATGTGTTGAGTCAACACAACGCAAAGGCGCAAAAGTGGTCCCTCACAAGACAGAAATTTGGTAAAATGGTCCCTCGTGACTTAAAAAGGTTAAGAACCACTGCATTACAGTTTTAGCTGTTCTTTAGAGCATTATTTTTATAGGTGTACCAGAATCTCATGGCAAACACAAATATTGGAAAAGTGTGTTTTTCATATGGCAATTGTCTCTGGTTTAACTGTCTCCTGTCAAAGAAAATTATGAAATGTGTCAGCCGCTGCAAAATTTTTGTAATCTCTTCTTGACTATTTGTTATTTTTCTGAAAAAGTCGAAAAAGTTCAAGCAAAGCATATTGTTTTCAATGTGAATTGTAAAATAAGGCATAATTCAAAGTCAATCTTTGATTCTAAAGCGCGTCGTCGAGTTGACAGTAAGTTGGACTGAAATGTTTTGATACATTTAGTTTATTACCCAACTGCGTCAGAAGGAGGGTTGGGTTTTTTTATATTATTCTTACTTAATAGCTGCTTTATCGGGGTTTTCAGGTATATCTCACAAATTGGTGCAGATGTTATGACCATGTAAAGAAAATTGAAAAAGATTTCATCAAAGCAAGATTGAATAATGAAGAAGTTTCCAATTTTTTTCTTTTAAATAAACTTGAAATAAATATAAGTAAAACTAATAATAATTGTAAAATAATCATGAAAATATCTCTACAAATAAATAAGTTACAGGGCCCTAAAGTTGCGCATAACTATTCACGCCATTTTGATCGGTGTATTCACGACAGTCATTCGGAGTACAAACAGTAAATCACCCCTGATCCAGCCAGTGCTGTTGACAGGTTTAATAACTTTTAAACTAAGCGGTATATCCTGATAAAATAAAAACAGTAATAATGATAAATAACGGGCGATACTAAAAAAATACATAAAATACACAAAACAGGCCAACAAATAATAAAAAATGATACTTTTTGAAAAAAATCTGCTTAAAAATTCGTGTTTTTTTGGTTATTTGATAAATTTCTCCAAAAAATGCCCCTATAACCGGTGGTTTTTATTACTTTGTATTGTTCTCTATCGTATTGTCTTTGTAAAACCAAAAATCGCATGTCTCTATCCCTATCACAACATTTGCTATGATCGTTTGAACAAAGGCCTGCCACAACATTATTCTCCGCTGCAGGTAGAGACAATTTTAATTTGAACTAAAATGCTTATTTTACATCGAAATCTTTTGTTTTTATTTGAAATCTAACTTGTCTTTATCAAAATTACAAATCTAGAGCCATTTTCAGTTTTGTTGTTAACAAAGCGTTGAATGGCGCGCCCGGAGAGGCTTAGTTCAAACGATCATTGCAAACGTTGTGATAGGGATAGAGACATGCGATTTTTGGTTTTACGAAGGTAATACGATAGAGAATAATACAAAGAAATAAAAACCAACGGTTATAGGGGCATTTTTTGGAGAAATTTATCAAATAACCAAAAAAACACGAATTTTTAAGCAGATTTTTTTCAAAAAGTATCATTTTTTATTATTTGTTGGCCTGTTTTGTGTATTTTATGTATTTTTTTAGTATCGCCCGTTATTTATCATTATTACTGTTTTTATTTTATCAGGATATACCGCTTAGTTTAAAAGTTATTATGTTTTCTTTACAATAAGTAATTGGAAGAAAAAAAATTCTATAAAAAATTAAAAAAAAAATCTCAAAAAATTTTTGACCTCTTTTTTGTCGATAAAAATAGGTCTAGTTTCATCTTTTTTCATATGTACACTTTAACGTGACTCACACTGTATTTTAATCCCATTCAGAGAAATATAGTGTTTTAACATCAGGAACTTCTCCATTGAAATGCTGGAAGAGCAATTTATTTACAGTACCTCTTTATCTTGATCATCTGTTTATTGAAAAACAAGAAATGCAAGTGGAGTTTTAAGAATCGTTTTCTAGTTCTGAATGAAGTGATAAGTTAGAAGTATGATGCATAATAAAATTAGTTACTTAAAGTAATATACGATTTATTCAATTTCCAAAACATTTACCTATGTTAAAAATCTGATGTCTAACAACATTCTTCATACACATACCCACCTAAAATGTATATTCGTACTTCATGTTCATTAATATTAAAGTAATAAAAGTAAAAAATTAAATAGTATCAAGATCGTTTATTCCAATTTCCCCAGTATTGCTCTCAACAAAGTTTATTTTCCCTATTTGCCATGAGATTCTGGTACACCTATAGTACGAGTACAAAGACAGTCTTTATCTCAATGTAGTTAGTGATTTGCATCTTCAATAATTCAACCTTGAATAATATTTTGAGAACTCTATAGCGTCATTGCTCAGAATACAGATCTGTATTCAGAGCGTCATTATTGAATCTGTAACGTATTTTTAACATCAGCTGAATACCGCATCGATACACATGCATTATTTAATTAGTGGGCCTGTATGTCCACTTCGCTACCACCATCTTACTTAAGCCTGTCGCCGTAACAACAATGTCAACATCATTGTTGTGTTCAGGCAGTTGGAGGAAAGATAGCCAGTTCCTCTGTGTTGAGGATTCTGAGTGAATTTCGCTTCGATTTTCGGAGATCATTACCTACTTAACCTACTTTCCATCGGATCAAGAGCTTATTATTATTATTGGTTTTTTGGGCCTTCATTTGCGCCAGCTCGACCAGGTTTGATCTATTGTGGCAGCCCTTGTCTTTAGAGTTCACTGCTTAGTCCCGTTGAGTCTATAAAAAGCCAAGAGCTTCCTCATTTGTGAAAAAAAGTACACATTTGCGTCTCTTATTTATGCTTCTACAATGGTGACTAAATAACCTGATGATTATGATGGTTTAGGCATGTTGAGGTACAAAAAAAAAATAAAAAAAAAAAAAATAATAAAAAAATAAAAAACTTACCTACTATTTTTTCTTCGTAATCTGATACGGGTTAAATATTCGAGTCGTAAAGCCTAGCTTGGCACGTCTAGCCGTTAAAGATAACGAAATCACGCCACACTTATTTCAGACGTAGGTAGTAAGTTTCATGCCACAGTATCGTTTGGTTCGCGTGAATACCTTTAAACGGACTGCACGAAGGTGTTTGATAGATGGCGCAGTTTGACTGAGTAGGTTTGAACCCCGCTAGAGTAGGATGCGATGTCTTATAGAAATCAAATAAATAATTACAAATTGACCTACCGATACCATGATAATTTCAGAGGATAACACCTGTATACTTATGTATTAATTACGGTGCGTAATTGGCGTAATAACCCCCATGTTGGTACCCGCTGAAAACCAGCTGCGTGACTTGACGACTTGCGTCATGACGATTTTCGCTGAGCGGGCGCCTTTTCAGCATGGCTCAGTACCTCTAGTAGGAAAAACTTTCGAGTTCGTTTCGTTGCGTATTCAAAGTGTCATCGAAAAATTTTGTATGAAAAATTAAACAGCGCCCCCTATATTATAGCCGCCCTAGGGGGCGCTGTTTCATTTTTCATACAAAATTTTTCGATGACACTTTGAATACGCAACGAAACGAACTCGAAAGTTTTTCCTACTAGAGGTACTGTAATGTTAACCTCTGTACATGTATGCACATAAATGTTAATGCTGAATAAAGGTATTCTATTCTATTCTGTATAGAAGAAGTAAGGAGGGACATGTCACACTAAGTAGAAGATATAGAATGAAATTATTGCATAATAAAGATGATGCCCCCCTACCAAAGCAAAACCAACCCTGTTTGTCTTTATTTTCACGCGTATGGACAACTGAATCAATTTTCATGCAGAGATATATTGAAAGTAAAAGAATTAATAGCTTAATACTACCTTTTAATGCAAAAATCAATACTAAAAAGACTGAATCCCATATGGATAGCAATTTGTATAATTAAATAAGTGATATGATTCACAATTTACTACTGCTTCTATTAAGCTTCTGGCAAGGATTTTGACTGTGTAAAGCAATCTCGAGTTCTCGAGAGGCGACCACGGGCTGGAAGACGTAGCGTGGGCACTGGGCAGGCCTCCTACTAGGTGGACCGACGATCTGGTAAAGGTCGCGGGAAGAGCCTGGATGCGGGCAGCGCAGGACCGTGCATTGTGGAAAACCTTGGAGGAGGCCTTTGTCCAGCAGTGGACGTCATTTGGCTGAAACGAACGAACGAACGAAAGCTAGGGGTACTGCTTTCGTTCGTTCGTTCGTTTCAGCCAAATGACGCCAAATTTTCGGATAACACTGCAAGCCGGAGTCAGGTAGTAAAAAACTTAAAAAATCATACTTTTTTTCAGGTCGCCGGTATCGTGCTAGCTCTATGGCTGGCCCACGCCATCAAGACGCAAGGCAAGAGTCGAGAGACAGCCTAGACGCACCAACTCCACCATTCTGCACTAGCTTTAAGGTATTTTTACTTACTGAACTCTGAACCGACGCATTTGTACTTTTATTTTAAGGTCAACTACCTCGACATCAAATAAAGCGCACCTCCCGCGACAAGCACTTTCAAACGTATGCATCCCCATTTCCCACCAATATTGGCACCATTTAAAAGCCCAGTTCTAAACTTCATTTCATTAAAGGAAAGGTTTTTACCCCAAAAATGTGTCTTTAGAAGGATCCAGTCACTTCTTCAAAAAATAGTTACACTTAAAACTGTTAAGTTGGGATTAATCGCTATCTGTTAAAGAGGACACGTGAGGTCATTATTTGGTTTTATAACCATAAAAATTGGTCTAATTAAAACACAATAAAACAGAAGTGAGCCCAAAGTGAGGTCTTTTTTTCAAGTCACATTTTTGGTATATATTAATAATTTATTATGAAATTAAATGTGTTTTTCTATAGGGATATTTATTGGGCTTTTAAATAACACCAGTATTGTTGGGGCACCATGATTGTGTCAGAAGAAAATCTTTAAAGTTCGCGTCGCGGAAGGTGCGGTTTATTTGATGTTGAGTATAGTTTTGCATGCACATTGATTCCAAGGTTGTCTGATGATATACGTTGCAAATATTTAGAACATGAAATCAGACTGTTTTAAGTGCTTTAAAACGGTGGTCATTATTCTGTGTTTATTACCTAACTATTATTACATTGGGATGTAAGATTTGTCATCACGTAAAAAGATGTGATATCAGTGAGACGTCGTGCTTTTCAATGAGTCGTAATTTTCAATTGGTAGTTTTCTAACTAAAAAGATACAAAATTCTTCTGTAAACGTTACTTATTAATATTATTATAAGTAAAATAAATTAATGACTCCATTTGAATGGAGATTATATTGATGATGAAAACGTAATTATTGTAACCTACTTTGCCCAACTTGAAAAAGGGTGATAATGTTTTTTTCTTAAATAAATGAAACGTACTACTTGTACCTGACAATACAAACACGATACATTAATTAATGTATGCTCGACAAAGTTTATCTCCTTACTGAAATACTGAAAAATAATAAGGTTTTATAGTTTATTTTTAAACTTTTTGTGTAATTTTCTGATGTAACAATTCGTAAAAGGTTTCGTCTTTCCTAGTACCTACTTAAGTATTTATTATTAGATATAAAAAAATACGTTGATATAATATTCTCCCACCTCATAAATATAATGACAATACATAAAAACCTTATTTTTAGTTATTTGTTAGTGTAACATGCTACATTTATAATTTGAGTAGTATAAGAATCTCACAGGCTCAAAACCGATAAAATTCATCACATTATCATCATGTTTTTAGCACTAAGACAATAGAAAGAAATTAAAGAACTAGTTAAAAAACATGAATATTATTACAATCACCATCTAATATTTGATTTGTTTTGGTGCTATTATACTTAATTTTATTACGCGCCTTGGCATTAAATTTTTTGCCATATCTAATAATTTATTATGTATTTTGAAGGTTAAGTTTAGTTAATATTTTAATATTAAATAATAAGATTTAGGCTAAGTGATGACAGGGGTGTGGCTAACACATTATGTATGTATGGGGCTGTGCCTTTTCAAGGCGAAAGTAAATAAGTACTTGCAGGGCAGATATGTACCATCCTAGACTGCATCTCACTTAACACCAGGTGCGATTGCGGCCAAATACCTGCCTTGTTATGCATAAAAAAGTAACTTTGAAAAAATACATACACCACACTTAAACAAAGTATTAAATCTCCCTAAACTTTTTCAAAACCAAAAAAGTATTAAAATTTTATAAAAGTTTTAAATGAAAAGCCATGCCGCGGTCAAAAGCTAGTCATAGATTAATTAATATTATTGTGAAGCTTTTAAGTCAACTGTAAGTTTAGACTCATTCCTTTCAAATTAACAAACGTTAATTTATTAATTAAATCGATCAAGTAATGTTAAGTAAGTAATAAGGTTTTCATTGTAAAGTTTAACAGTGTTACATTATAGAAGTTGTAATAGAGTTTCTCAAATAAAATATCTGTGTTCCGTAATGTTTGTTTTATTCACAACTATAGCGGCCAGACAACACATAATTAAAATCTGGAAATCATTGCTGTAACATTAAATCGAGCTTTGCTACATATCATTATACTTAATTAAAGCTCTCTCGCCGTGAACATTACGATACAGTGAACAGCATCGAGCTTTCGTAGTATCGTTTCGTAGTTCCTAGTATACATGCAACAAAATAAAAGCTTTTAAAAGAGCTTTTTCTTGTATTTTATTCAGTAAAAAATAGTAAACTCTAGCTTACCTTGCAGTAGGTATATCTATTCAAAATTCTTGGAATTGTGACTCTTTTGATTGGATTACCTGCCATAACGTTTACATTCTACCTAATTTCACATTTTAAATTTGGTTCATGAAATAAAACATCATATTTTTGAGCAAACTTATTTATTTCTACGAACACATTGACAATAATTAAATATTGAAGTTAAAAATACATTTTATTAACTTAGGTATAGGTAATATTAAACTAAAACCTATCATACGGTAATGTGAATCGCATGTGCTCATTATTTATGAGTAAATTATTTTTATCAAACATCTAAAAGTCAGTAAAATATTTTATTATTATTACTTAATATTTAAAGTGATAATTAGCTTACTTAAATTCAATTTGTATTGGCGTGCTTTTAGAAGTGATAGTATAATATTTTAACTGTAGGTACCTAATTTATAACGATATTGTTAATTTGACTATTTTATATTGTACTTGTCTTCGCTCAATGTTATTGTTTACAATACTTAAAATTAAAATGACCATTATTATGATAAAATGACGTTAGTTTTTGCAATGTGATACGATTTATTGTGTGAACGGATCATGATTGAAATACAATGTGTATCCTTAAAAAACATCACCAAATATCAAGCAAACAAACAAGTCCATCACACATAAATTAGTACATATTCGATAAAAATCTGGCAAGTGTACCTAATAATAGGCTAATATAGAACTTTTTTAGACTTCACATCTTAAGCACACTATATTTTAAATTATTCACACACAAGTGAACTGTCACAATATTCCAAGAGATACAAACTAAATTCTATGAATGTGTAGAGCCTATAAAATTTTTGGTCTAGCATAGTTTAATTGCTCTTTTTACATTTTCACGATTACCAGATTAGAGTGAAATAAACAAAAAAACTTATGCCTATTTCAACTCTGCCATGATGTCAACTAAAACACAATAATTTATGTTTCTCGCGCACAAGCAAATACGTATAGAAAAGTGAATAGAATGTGTATGTCTTTAGCATGCGTAATATTAAGATAGGTGTTTTAAATGATAATTTATAACTTAAATAATAACAAGTGAATGAAATTATAAATAAACTATGGATAAAGACATATATTTCGTCTGTTTCCACCTAAAATATCAGAATTGGTCCCATCCAGCTTCCAGCTGTTTATTTTAGAGCTACGAATTATCACAGGTCAGCTAATGACAAATTCTTAAAATTACAGAATTTATTGAAACATTAATTAAAACCTCAATGTGTTCGAATCTACTGAAAATGGTGTGGGATTAATAAAATCTTAACTAACATTTGAAAAAGTTTAAACACTGTAATTTTCCATAAAGTAGCTTTTGGTAATCAATTTTAAAAGTCCAATAGGTCTAAAATGTTATTTTCTCAAAAATATTTTCCAAAATTGTAGCTATATTATTTTATTATACCCAGTATTTAATTATACTGCTAATTAATTCTATGCATTCCTGTGCGCAATACTGATTTCTATACCGTGAATAAGAAAATATACGTGATTTTTTTATAATTAACTTTCAAAGTGAGCTTGCAAGTTTTGCTGAAGCTTTCGACGTTCCACTCTTATAGTACGAGCCATCCATAACGCCAAAACGATGCAGAGAATCTGAAAAATAAATGAACTAATAATACTGAGTCATAAAAACAAATATCACCTTTTATTTGCAGGTGTTTTTTTTTCAGGATCTCGTTTTGAACATCCCGTTTATAGTGTCCCAAAAATCCGATTCATTCGCAATTGGAATTCTAATTTCAAACACGCACTTTTGTGTTCACACGACAGTCCAGTTTTGCATTACTGGATTGCCGTTCAAAAGGGTCCTTCATAAACGTACCTCGAGTAGCGCAAATATAATGCCGGTCGATATAAAAATGTTGCCTTTCAACGCCTTCTTCTGCCTTAAGGCCTCTTCGCAGCCCCTATCGTAATACGTCTTGTCCGTAAGACAGGCGGCGTGGATCTGACGACGCGCCCCTCCATCGCGCAATGGATATGCGCGGGCGCAGCAAGAGGGAGGGATCTCGCGGTGAAGGATTGAGTAGTCTTGAGGGCCGTCTACGCCGCAGCATTGGTTCTGTAATATGAAGGTAGTTAGATACTGATATTGAAGAAATAATAGTTAAGTATTGATTTTCAGAGAACTCAAATAAAAACTCTGGAAAAGCTTTTACTAGCTTCGCGATTCCGATCAAAAAAAGTGTAATTGATGATGCCCTTCTGATGTAGTAGGGGAGACCGAGGTGAGTTGTAAATCTATAGATGCGCTGATGTGAGGATGCTCAACGTTCTTCCCCACTGTAGAGTTTAACAAAATCCATCCAGTAGTTATTGCGAGAATGAATAACAACCTCTACTCTCTCAAGCTTTCACGATAGCTGAAAATGATTAAACTATACCTCATACAGTGTCTGATGCCCATTTTCATCATCAATCCCTAATTTTTAAGTGTCCCCTATTGTAACACATAACAGGATTTTTTTTTATAGAGGTCACTGAAAAATTAGGGATTTATAGTGTAAAAATTTAGCTCAGATGGAAGAGCAAGAAGCAAGCGAAAGGTCATGAGTTCGATTCCCGCCTTAGGCATTTCAATTTTTTCAAGTTGTTTATTTAAATTTAGTTTGAGAAGCGACTCTAATCGCTAAGAAATTTTAGTAAACTACCTCAGATTGTAATGGATCCCAAAACGCTTGGTGTGTGGACAGCTCATCTTCAATGGTCAGGTTCCTGAAGAACTGGTGCCTCAGCTCGCTGCTTCCCCCCACCCAGGCGCTCAGAACCGCCCCCCCAACCCCCACCACCACTTCGATCGACACCAGGAATATGAAGAAGCAGGCGTGCTGGAACAATCGAGTTTGTGAAGTTAATTTATTAATCATACCTAATTGATAAGTACAAAAGTAATTACAAAGTACTTACTCGCAGTTAAACTTTTAAATCGTTTGATGACATTATGGAAAGTTATGGATGAATCGATACTTGTGTGTTCTGTTGCTATTTTTCTTCTGCGTACCATTTTAAATTGTTATGGTTTAAATAATATTAAAATGCCTTATTTAAAATTGAACGGTGATTTGAATTGCAATTGAACGGTTAACGTTGGCATTTTAATAAGCCTATGTTATGCCTTACCATAGTCAACTTCATCTTGAGTTTGCAAGGTTATGGGTTTAGAAGCCATCTCCCTTAAAAGATAGTAGTGAATTAAAAGCTATAATTTTTTTCTTAGAGGCCACCCTATTGGTAGTAGTGTCCAGTTGAAAAATACTCATACTTTACCATTATCTGAGGGCCATCCAGGCTTCGCACAAGACCCTAATAATCCTTTTCTCTCTTCTTGATAACCCTTATAAATATAACCGAAAGGCACCATCATACAATCGAGCGAACTGCGCACCTCGATGGAATACGACTCTCCCTCCCACTTATCCGCACACCTCCCCGCGTTCGTCTCGCATTCGCCCCGCGTACCAGAGCGTGTCGATGTGACGTCAGAGCTGCTAGGTGCGCAGTCAACTCGACTGGATTGTACAATATGTCCAATACTTACCACGTAAAGTATCCTAACGTGTTCCCTCAATGCTCCGATGCAGCCGAGTATAGCGGTGACCACGAGGCAGAGGCCGAGAGTGAGCAGGAAAGAGAGCACGCCGCGGGAAAGAGCCGACTATAATCTGACAGATTTTTTTCACAATTTTACGGTGACCTAATATCTATGACTTACCACGTAAAGTATCCTGACGTGCTCCCTCAGAGCTCCGATGCAGCCGAGTATAGCGGTGACCACGAGGCAGAGACCAAGAGTGAGCAGGAAAGAGAGCACGCCGCGGGAAAGAGCCGACTATAATCTGACAGATTTTTTTCACAATTTTACGGTGACCTAATATCTAATACTTACCACGTAAAGTATCCTAACGTGTTCCCTCAATGCTCCAATGCAGCCGAGTATAGCTGTGACCACGAGGCAGAGACCAAGAGTGAGCAGGAAAGAGAGCACGCCGCGGGAAAGAGCCGACTGCGGCTCGGGCCGGGACTTGCGCTCGCGCAGGTTCATCACGCAGATCGCCATTAGGACTAGGCCGAAGAGCTGGGTGGAGAAAAAAAGAATAAAAAAAAATAATATAACCTTATTTGAGTGATTTATATTAAAAAACGAAAAAAAATAAAAAGTTAATAATGTTTTTTATGTATGGTACCTACAGTAAATATTGAGTAGCCAGTTATGAATGCTTTAAACTTCTACTATTGACCTATATTGCTCTATAATTTGTTACGATAAGGTCAACAGTAACTCTATTATTGGAAAACATCCACAAGCTCTGTATTTATGACTTTCTTCTTTTCCTAATGATTATGTTATCTTTTTACTTACGAAAAATTAAAAGGAATTATTCAATCGCTAGACAGACTCTTGTAGATTTTTTTGCCTTAACGAACGCTTCTTCTTATAAAAATAAACATATTTAAGTTGGTGGTTAACTACACTTGAATATCGATAAATGAAAGTTAAGGTTAAGAAAATTCGCATCGCATTTTGTTTGTTAACTTTGCGCAAGTTCACTCAGTTTTCCCGCCAACATTTTCCACGGCGCTTTCCAAAGCACCCCTCTAAAACAATTCATAACCTACGCCAATTTACTTGTAAAACCACTAGTTATTACTTGATCTTATCAAGGCCTAACGACGGCAATCAATAAACGTACGTCCAATCCGATCGATCCATTAAAAAGTACTTACTATGCATATTATATTGAAGAGGGTGAGAAAAAACTTCATGCAGCGTATGCTTCTCGGCTTCATCGTCACGGATTGCGTCACAAAGTACTGAAATAGTTTTGTCACAACGTAAATTACTGTTACGCGTGACACAGGTCCGACTGGTCAGAACAAGTCGTCGGAAATGAAGGCTTATGGGCTTGTATCGATCATTGCATTTGACGACCCGATGGTGTTATTAGAGCAGATACCATGGGTATAGGAGGAGCGGGGGCGGTTTTGTGGTGGTACGATTCCTTTGTTTGATTGTAAGAGCCACGTTGTTGGTCATAGAAACACAACGAATATCTTCAGTATATTTTCAGCGTCGTGCTCGTTTCATTCGTAACGTTAACGTTCATTCGTATTCTTATACTACGGTGCTACGAATTCGATTATCGTAGCAAAATTGTAGTGAAATGTTATTAAATGTTTTTATATGCTTTTATCTCTATTTCTTGACCATTCTTAACTCTTTGTTGAATATAGTGTAATACTATTTTTGTGACCTTTTCCATGTTTATTTCTAACAACTCTAATAACATTTTATCACCATAAGTTCTAGAATCTTTACCATGTACAATATTAGCTTGATTTTCATGTAAATAATGCACGAGTGTTATTCAAAAAACGCTTTATAGATTAGACTTGCAAAAATTACCCATTTTACCCCAGCCCGCTGCGCTCGCCCGCGAATCGCATTATTTGGACCGTGGGAAATCATGTGTCCATTTCCCCACAGTCCAGGGACTGTCTTGAGTCTTTGTTTCAGTATCCAATTAACTTTAAATCGATATAGCCTTTACGACGTTCGCAATACGACTTTAATTAATACGTGTGTCCCTTCGGCCCTGTCCACTTTGATATTTACTATTATGTAGGTACAGCAAGCAAAGAAAATTGCAACATGAATTTTTCATAACACTGGTCATAATTTTTTGATTATTTATCATCAATTGATATTGAGAATGGCATAATAAAACAATCAGAAATAGAAGCGTAGGTAGTAAAGTTTTGGAACTTTGATAAAAATATCAATAGACACACAATGGTTCGAATAATGTGATAACTTGGAATAAGTGTTCTTTCGTCCACTGCTGGACAAAGGCCTCCCCCAAGGATTTCCACAAAGACCGGTCCTGGGCCGCCCGCATCCAGGCACCTCTCGCGACCTTCACTAGATCGTCGGTCCACGTAGTGGGAGGCTTCATCATCATCACAATATACAAGGTGCTTTTACTTTGAAAATAAATCTTCTGTTACATGAGAGCCTAGCGATATTCAACGTGGATACTAAATCGCGTTTTTATGTTTGACTGTACTTCTGTTTCATATTACAGCCCTCAAGTTTTAATGCCCCGTAATAAAGGCTACTTTCTATTAAATATAATGAAGGACGAGCGCTGTAGAGAATCAATAGGTTTTGCAAAATTAAACGATAAATGTATGTCACTTTCGTACCTTCGCGATGACCCATTTAACAATCAAAGAACCACTTTAACCCTTTGTTCCGAGTTTATTCTAGATATATATTAAAAAGTAGCCCTTAAAGCAACCCTACTTTAAAAAAAACTGTACTACTGAAAGGCATTCTGAAAAAGATGGTTGGTACTGTGCTCCTGTTCCTAAATGATAATTATTAAAACCTTTTTTTAAATAATGAATAACTTTTAAATCCTTACTACAAAGCTTACCATAAAACTGTTCGTTAATAAAATTGTTTTCCACCCTTGAGCTTATTCTGCTACACAAAAGGGTGAAAGCTAAGTCACTATTTTTAATTACCTGCACACACTTTTCCTACAAAGTGAATATAAAGCAAGGTGTTAAATAGTTTTAAAACAAAACAGTAAGTTCGCTCACAATGAAATGCCAGGATACAGCAAGACGTTAATTTTTCTACCCAAGTAGGTAAAACCAGTTTATTATGTATAAGCATGTCTTAAATATTCATGTACAATAATAATGTCCATAATCTTTTCATGTTAAAAAATCAAGTCAGTCCTTAAATACAGCAGCGCCTATTGTAATAATAATATGTATTGCAAATCCGTCCGCAATCCGTGTCAAAAATTCAAAGTTTATGGAAGAAAATGGAGTAATAATACAAAAATTATCCATACAAAGTTGATTTTGAATTGTTTTATTCTCTTTTCTTCATAATGTGATTATTATTTTTAAATTCATTTTTCAAAAAACACACAAAAATAGTTATGAAAAGGAGTATAGCAGAAAATATGAGAAGTTTGAAGAAACTTTGTATGGATAATTTTCGTATTATTACTCCATTTTCTTCCATAAACTTTGAATTTTTAATAAATTTCAATATCTAATTACTACGTGTGATATATCATTGGAAAGAAGAGAAAGTAGAGATTTTTTTAAGATCATTGGCAATCCATTATCAGTATTAGTTTTTTTTTCAAATCGAATTCGAACTTTAATTTTTTAACGTTGTTTGTACTTTTGTTGAACTTTGGCGGCTCGTAACTAGTTATTCAATCATTATCTGGATCTGAAATTTATTTTATTTGACTAAAGGTTTATTCGATATTAGTGTCAGATTAAAAAAATCGGTTAAAATCATGCGAGAAAAAAAAATTAAGCAGTTTTTAGGTCCAATTTCGGAAAAAACTGAAAAATTTATAAAAATTGACATATCTTCTAAACTATAAAACTTTAGCCATCGAAAGTAAGGTTCAATAAGTAGCAAATGACCTCCTCTATACGCGTATTAGCTATGGCGGGTTCAGTTCCAGTCACCCTGTATAATCGACAACTTCCATCATTTTGTGGTGGGATTTCCCTAATGTATCTTCATAAACCTACTGCATCTACCTACAATATGGTTCCGGTCGTTACTATGAAAAGCGTTATAGTCATTGTCACGCAAACCGGCAAGTGTGTATGTGTAATTAACAGTAAATTGTCGTTTTTTTCAAATCACGCTGAATACTATGTCCATTTATTTATAAAGAAACTACAAATATACGTTACCTACCCGGGGTAAGGGGGTAGTAAGCTACCCCCTTTGTGATTGCGGATAGATAGATAGATAAGACTGGCTTAATATAATCTGACTCCTGTATTTTATTGAGCAACGAAGAATAAGTTCAATTATTATTAAATAAAGTTCTTAAACATCAACTAGGTACTAGTCCAATGAACATCATATTAGTCCAAAAAGAAATGGTGTTTCTCACACACAACACGAAGGAATAGGCTAGCTAGATGACAAAATTTCAATTATTTGTCCGTCAGACAGATAATTAGAAAATATTAGACTCATATTTTTTATTTTCTTTCATAATTAATAATAACAGTCCTACATCGAGTTGAAATGGTGAGGTACGTCACGCTTGAGTAGAATTTTTACTCAAAAGTGACGTCACGCGACATTTCAACTCAATATAATACTGTAATTTATTCGATTATGGAAAAAAATAAAAAATAATATGAGTCTAATCTGACGTAGGTACTAAATAGAATTTCGATTTCATTACCCAGTCATCATCCCCATTGTAGAGATAGACGTCTTAATAATTTTGTAATATGAAATGAAACGAACATAATTATATTAAAATAAATGTATATTTGTGTAATAGAACCAACAAATTAAATGCTATGCGCCCAATGCCTCAGTATCGGACGGTTTCCTTGTAGATGTGCACGGAGTTTTTGATGTTATTCACCAGCCAAGACGTTAGCAGCATTCCTGCACCCTGAAAATAAAAAAAAACTATTTTTAGGAAACTTTCAGTATAGTAGAGAATGACTTACTTCATTCTCTGTGCCTGAATTTGAGGCACCACCACTAGGAAATACAAAACATTTCTAGTTCACCTTTAAAAACTGAATTCCGTAAATAGCGTATCTAAATATTCTTAGTAAAACGTAAAGTAATTATAATAATATGTATGTACGAGTGTCGAGTATAGTCATCATCATCATCATCATTTCAGCCATAGGACGTCCACTGCTGAATATAGGCCTCCCCCAATGATTTCCACAACGGCCGGTTGCCCCTTTCCTACCTATTATGAGGTCGTTGGTCCACCTGTGGTTGGACGTCCTACGCTGCGCTTTCCGGTACGTGACCTTCTAAAACCTTGCTGCCCCATCGACCGTCAGTTCTGCGTCAGTTCAGTTCAATAATATAGAAGCTTGGAAAAGCTGTCTATTTATTTAGGATCTGGGAAGATACAGAATGGATGAGGAATTTTCACATCTCATCTCGTCTCAGAGGCATTGCTGATAGCTTAGTTTAGAGACGCCAAATAAGGTCTCCCTCTGATCGTACCTCAACCCAGAAGCTGAATACTGCAGCCCCGAGCAGCCAGTCAGCGTCAGAGCGGAGGATGTCCAGGATCTCGTCTTCGCAGCCCTGCTTGTAATAGTCACCCGTTCTGGAAAATAACAGAAATATGTTATTAAAAAAACTAAACAATCATCCCAATAGATTTGATTACTGATAACATATTTAAAAGTAAAGCCAAAGTTAATTGTTAGTCTTTTTTACCCAAAAAGCCTGTTTTATGTCTCCATGGAGCCTTCACAAAGGACGATCTCCCATTAATTTAATCTAGTCGCCACCTCGAGTAAGTGTTCATCCTAAACTTTGATGGCGTTTTCCGAATTGTGTGGTCAGATATAGCTGAACTTTTCTTTATTTAACTTTTGGTTTTCTGCGGGATTTCCTCATTTCGTATTTTAACTAATTAAATAAAGAAATGGAAATGACATTGGGAACTTTTTGCCCCACTTTTCGAAAAGTAGCGGACACAAACGAAACCTATCACAGATGATACATACTAATATCCAATGAATTTCCGTGCATTTTTTTTTCTCTCTTATATGGGAATATTGAGAAAATGAAGTTTTAATATTTTATTTTATTTGACATTTAGGTAACATTTTTGACGACCTCCATGGCGGAGAGGCGCACACACCGGTTTTCAAGGTGTGCCGGGCCAATCCTGAGGTCCCGGGTTCGATTCCCGGCCGGGACAATATAGAAAACGATCTTTTCACATTGTCTCTGGTTTGGGTGTGTTGTGNATCTTTGTCCGCCATGGGGCATTTTCTCATATTAAAGTTCCCAATGTCCAGTAGCTAATATTTAGGTAGTAATGGTTGATGGGAATTTTAATAATATCACAGATAATATAATACTATAATATGTAAGTAAGTACTCCTAAATAAAACTTACGCCATGCACACCCGGTACAGCTCTTGCTGCGCGAACGGCGTCCTAGCGCGGAAGGCGCGCGCGCAGCACGACACGCTCACCGGCTTCTTGATGGCTAGGTAGTCTTCGGGGCCGTTCAGGCCACAGCATTTGTACTGGAATTTAAATAAAAACAAATAAAATATTTTTACCCAAAATTGTGCAAAAAAATATTTGAATTTAAATAAATATTCTTACACATTTTACATTATCTAGTCACAAACTTTTTAAACTATAGCTCTCCCAAGGAATCTACTGAAGTCTTTGTAAAGTGCCACAACTTTACTGTTTCAGTAAAGTACCTATCATATTTTTTATCATTCATCTACTTTATTTTAAGGTTTTAATCACGTGAAGGTGAAATCATTGCACTTGGGACTGGCTGAATGTACCGCACGCCATAATCCCAAAAAAAGTAAAAACTTAGTTCCAATTTTGAATAACGCGCCAATGACTTTATTTACTCGTAGTTGAGATTTCAAAACTGTGTTGTTTTGGTTTTGCGCTGCATAAAAATGTAATAAAGTGAGAAATAGTAAGTGGATATTAAGTAATTTGCTGTTAGAACCTAATCTGACTCATAGCCTGACCCATCCTTGTGATAGTAAGGCGCCCCGCCGGTTAGATTTTTTAAATACACATGGATAACGTCAAGACTTAACAAAGGACTGTCTATGTATATGGTAAATTTTTTTTAATGTATTTTTAACTATTTCATTTGGTTTTATGAATTTAAACAAGTAGTCCAGTCAATGAATGCCTTAACGACGGTGTAGAGAGAAATCCGTGGAACACAATTTCTGACCTCGGGACTTTATTTAGCCTAGTTAGGTGGAGAACATAGCAAAAGTCCCCGCCCTTAGCCCTTGAGCCGACGGGGAGAGGGGGGTTTAAAGGTACCACTTTTCGGTTTTTCGCTTAATCCTCGGAAACTATGCGTCCTAGTGACATGACTACTATGAACCAAAAAAAGCCTATTCAATTTGCTACAGGTGAGACCGTCAAGTTTTTCTATATCTTGTATAGTTTTTGCGGCATCTGCTCTAGAAAGTCTGTAAAATTGGAAATTTTATTGTTGTCTTACATGTTCCTTTCAGGAGAAAATCGACTAAATCAACATTGAGCAAACACTATAGACATGCGGGAGCATGTTAAGCCTAGTTCCATGGAGGGGACTGCACCGTGCGTATATTTAGACGAACCAATTAGAGCCATTTTTGACTCCTCATCATTCAAAAACTACTGTGCATTAACACTTTAAATTTGGCTCATGTATTGAGACTTACAAGATGTACATCAGCTTCAAATTTCATAAATATACCTCAAACGGTTATTTAGGTATTGACGTTCAAAAATCGATATTTAGAGCACTACTATCTATCTATCACATGTGAAATGTTAAAATTTACTGGTTTTTTATTTGTTCCTTTGTATTTACATAACTACCTTTCTGGATGCCAAATTTGAACCTTCGAGGTCATCTGGAAGTGGTTAGAATTTGGTCTATAGGTCAGACATGTAGATTTTTGGACGTCAATATCTAAAGAACCGTTTGAGGCATATTTATGAAATTTGAAACTGATGTATATCTTGTAAGTCTCAACACATGAGCCAAATTTGAAGTGTTAATGCACAGTAGTTTTTGAGTGATGAGGATTCAAAAGTGGCTCAAAGTGATTCGTCTAAATATACGCACGGTGTAGTCCCCTCGCTGGAACTAGGCTTAACATGCTCCCGCATGTCTAGAATGATTGCTCAATGTTGATTTAGTCGATTTTCTCCTGATGGGAACATGTAAGACAAAAATAAAATTTCCAATATTACAGACCTTCTAGAGCAGATGCCGCGAAAACTATACAATTTATAGAAAAACTTGTCTATCTCATCTGTAGCAAATTGAATATGCTTTTTTTGGTTCAAAGTAGTCATGTCACTAGGACGCATAGTTTCCGAGGATTAAGCGAAAAACCGAAAAGTGGCACCTTTAAACCCCCCTCTCCCCGCCGGCTCAAGGGCTAAGGGCGGGGACTTTTGCTATGTTCACCTCCTAACTAGTCTTAATAAAGTCCTGAAGTCAGAAATTGTGTTCTACAGTTTTCCATCTATAATGCTTTATTGACTGGACTAAAGTAGATGATAGGTGTTTTAGTTTTATTCAGACAAATGTAGAAATTAGAAAAGTAATTCAGACATGTTCCTTACATTACACATAGTAGGCACAAGCTTTGTTTAGTTTGTAAAATGTCCAAGGATTTATTTTTATTATTTTTATTTATTAAACATATGAAGATTCATTCTTCCATGGGCATATTAGCCTATAATCGATTACAGTAGTAGGTAATTAGATCCATGCAAAATAACATAATAATTAGTTATATTGACGGGATTGCCAACATGTAGGTACCTTAATTTCGAGTTTCCGATATTTAGGCATTGTTTCCGATTATAATTCTAATGACCATGAAGGTTTAATGCCCGTTTTCACCATCAATTCTTCATTTTTAAGTGATCCCTATGGTAACATATAATATGAATTTTGTTTTCATAGGGGTCACTTAAACATTAGGGATTGATGGTGAAAACGGGCAATAATCATTAACATATTCTCACGTTAGTCTGCAGCTCATCCCACAGCGTCTCGTGGTACACCTGGCTGCCCTCGGTGACGTTTCGGAAGAAGTCTTCCCGCATCCACTCCGTGATCCTAAACTGCAGCCCGTACCTCTGCAGCGCTACGAAGATGGAGATCAGCATCTCCAGCAGCACTATGATCATGAGGAGGCCGAGGTACTGTAAGTAAAAAAACATAAGTACATACTTTAAACTTTACGTCTATTTGATCGAAAATACGCATTAAGTATCTATTGATCGAAAGATCTTGGCATGATCTGTTCACCGTGATTCTGGATGTGTTTGTACATTTGATTAGATACTATGATGCCGCTGGCCATAGCAGTTGACATTGTTGTCTTTACTAAGATCTACCAGGTACTTAACTCCTGGTTGATAGTTCTAAAGAAACTAAATAGGTAACTCATGCGATTATTCTTCGCACAATAACTATTTTATTATTCTTTCAGTTATTAATTCTTTATGTAATTTCAATAGCAATTTGATCACCATCGCTAAAATATCTAGTTAACTACTATATCTATTTAAGGTTTCTCATTTACGCCTTTCCCTTTCCATAAAGCTACCATAGACCTACCATATAAAGAGCCTTCAAGTTCTCCTTCACCACTCCGTAGCAACCCACCACGGCCACGGCAACCAGCATCACACTGGCGGTCATGATGACCACGTCGCCCGCAGACGTCCCTGCGGCTTGGTCCTCGCCATATTGCTAGAGCAGACTCCTCATTTCCATAAATCTACAAAGACTTACCATATACAAAGCCTTCAAGTTCTCCTTAACTACTCCGTAGCAGCCGACCAAAGCCACGGCAATCAGCATCACACTGGCCGACATGATGACCACGTCGCCCGCTGATGTCCCTGCTGCCTGGTCTTCACCGTACTGCTTGAGGAGACGGATGTCTACGATGGCGAAGCCGAAGATGCATAGCGCTAGGAACTGTGAGTAGAATATTTGAATTTCTTAATTAACTACTTCATGTAGTAGGTGGATATACCTACTTAGTTTTAAAGAAAATGTTTATTGAATGGCACAAGGCACTGCATTTTTATCTATACAGATAAACAACTTCCTTCGGCTTAGTTGATAGCTTTAAGTATGAATGGTTTACCACCGTTAAAACTTAATACAGTAGATCCTACTCCTATAATCGTACTATAGCCAGGGATTACACTTTTAGAAGACTTCACCTCCTACTAACACATTCTTCTTAAACCCACTCACTACCACTATTTTTGTTAATTCCAAAACAGGCATAGTTCCTAACGAACTGAGGCTGAGTTGCAATAACTTACTATAACCGTAACTATAAAAATAACCGAGGTTTTCGGTATGGAGCTTGACATATCTTTGACAGTTGTTAAAGTAAGATAATGCAACTCAGCCTAAGTGAGATTGTAGGTCTTTTCAGATGCTAAATAAATTCATTCCAAGACTTACACAAAGAAGACTAATTACTTACGATAGATATCCCATTCAGCACCAACAGCAAACTTTTTGCGATTCCCTTGCTCAGCTCCCTCAAATTCAGCATTTTGGTCATTTTACCTATCTTTATCAAGTTCAATGTCTGTTCCGAGTGCTGCTTGTGTCATTAATAGAGCTTTGTTTTGGAAAGCTCCACATGACGTAGGAACTGCCAGCCATCTATGGAATGTTCTACTGGGAACCGCCAGATGCGTCATGCATTGTTAATCGAGGCTTGCTTCAAAGGAAAACGTTAGGACCATCACTGACGAATCACAATAGAAAATAGATTGGGAAGTGTCCTTGCTGCTTACTTTACCTAGGTACTTATGTGTTCATCTCATTATTCGAGAGTCTAATGTGGTGAAGTTACCTAGGTGATGGAAATAACCATCTGCACATAATGAAAAAAATACTGACATCCATCGTTTTCTTCGTATGTCTTGTTTTCCCGAGACCTTTGTCCCATTATTTGAGCTCAGCTCTCCTTGTTCTAAGGCGCCAAGACAGTCTGTCCTAGGTTGTGTCAAAATATTAGTGTGGGAACGCTCTAAGTCCTTGGTCACCGTGGACCGCCACGTGGCCAGTGGGCGTCCTCTACCTTTTTTATTATCTGGCAGTACTAAGGCCTATTTTACGACATGGTCTTCGGAGCGTCTTATGACATGACCGAAGCATCGTTTTCTACATTTTCTTTTAATTGTATACGTCTGGTAATGAGGACTATTATCGCACTGTGTGAAATGCACTATGATGAAATCTCAAAATCCTTATTACAGTTTGGTTTTCAACTAATTAAGTTATCCGTTAATTAAAACTCTAAAGATCCGAATAACAGCCGTCATTGCCTCTTTACTTCACGCCTAGGTAATTTAGATAAGAAATTTTTAAATAATAAACCTACAACGTGAGTGACGACCATTATAAATATTGATCCACACAAACTGCATTATTTTCACAAAACTGATAGCATAGACAACCTAGATATACTTTTGCTAGTATTATAAGTAGGTGTATGAAAGTTAGTACCTAAAGTAATTACTTCATAAAACTTGTGGATAGTCATTAAAGATGTGACGTCATAGCTTTATTTATTAAATAATGTATGAGCACCTATATTACGAATCCTCGCAACAAGTTAGTAGTTGAAACTGATAATAATATTTATTTAGGTGTAGGTTAGTTTTACTAAATAAACTTGTAACTCAAATCATAAAATATTTTGAACAATCACAATGTTAAATATAAAACACTTCTTGAGACTCCAAATTACAATAAAAAACTATTCAATAATTATAGAAAATAAAGCTACACTTATTTCAGTAATAAGAAAAATAAGTAACAATCTAATCTTATTTCAATAGACTTTTAAAGTAGGTACAATACAAATAACTAGTTCAAAAATACAATTTAAGTACAATAAGGCACAATAACACTTAAAGATAGAAAAACTAAAATAAAAATTAGCAGATCTAAATAAATAAAACACTTAATTAAAATATGCACTGGAAAATCCCTCACATTTGAAATTGTTCTTAAAAACTAATAAAATACATTTAAAAGTAAATGCATCAATGTTACAGTCGTAACAACTGCTGTAACACCTTGAATGGTGTTGGCGTTACTGCGTTTCTGGGGGTAGAGCGGTTCCCTGAAAAGGAAAGAGAAAGAGTGTTAGTTTTCTATTTGATTTTGTAGTTTTCGGTCCTGAAATTTGGAAATTGGGATTCCACTTGTTGGTATTACCACAGAATAATAATAAGTACTACGTACAGAAGTTTTACTTCGCGAAGGTATTTAAAAAAATGTATGCTCAATGTCATTAACAATATGGTGTAATTTAGCCTGTCTCAAGAGTCAACCACCATTTTGTTGACAAACGTCAGTGATCGGCACTGCGCCGAAGCTCTACCTATAGATGAGATTCTACCTGTAAGTTATTAAACTCGTAGAGAGATGTGTTCGTTCGTTCGTTCGTTTCAGCCAAATGACATCCACTGCTGGACAAAGGCTTCCCCCAAAAGAAGTATGTGTAATATAGAGTCTAATCCGAGACTAAGCGAATATATATATTATAGTTTTTGATCCCAGAAAAAATAATGAAAGCCGCGAAGTACATGGACTCCATAGAATTTTTAATTTAATAAGGTGCGAAACGCTTGCGCATGTCTAGGGCAATGTAGACTTCTTTCAGTTACTATTTGAGATTAAAAGTGTCAAGCTGTATTTAAATAATATTGCTGCGCAATATAAAATCGAATTGTGGGTGATTTAGAATAATATAAATCAAAATTCGCTCGTCGTCATTTATTTTAAATCATTACATGTGAAATTTTAATTAATAGTTGACAATAAGAGGTGTCAATGTAATTATTATTTTTGTAATTATTTACTTGTTTTTATTTCATGTCATTATATTTCTCTGTTTATTAACTCACTATACCATCTTAAACGTTTACCTTGCCTTCATAAAAACATGCGTAAAAACAATTCGTTTCCTCATTGCAGATGCCTTTTTCGAATTACATGTTTCTATAAAAAGCTTTAGTACTAATTATACGATCACGAGCTCAATGCACTGCGTAATTACCTACTCGAATGAATACAAAAACTATGTATTTATAAATCTAGTATGAGATAAGTATTAATAACTATGTATTTATAAATCTAATATGAGATAAGGATAATAATAAACGGGGATCTTTTTGGAAAGGTTAAACATGAGACTGCATCTTATTTATCGGTTCTTTATTTACATAGAATTTAGAATTAATAGGTGATTATGCCAACGAGAAGCGATACAAAAGGTCGATTCGACTTTCGAATTGACAATCTATTCTGTCTCTTTCCATCTTGTGTATTTGTCGTAACATCTCGTTCTCCCGCCAAAATATGTCAAAGTCAAACCCGTAGGCTGGGTTGCACCATCTTACTTTAACTTTGACAAACGTCAAAAATCTGTCAAATTCCATACAAAAAACACCGGTTATCGTCATAGTTACCGTTAAAGATAGGTGGTGCAACCCACCCCTACTTTTGGTATCGCTTCTCGTTGGCCGTACTTTAGATTCTAAATATTGTAGGTATTTTACAATCACATCCTTAGAATGGACCTAATGTACGAACTTGAGGTCAAGTGAAAAAGAAAATTGTACGTACTTTTATTACATTACATTATCCTTACATTTTCATTACTGTGAGGCTTCTGAAGGATTGGTACATAACTCAGCTCCTTTCCCTAATATGGATCAGTGACCTAACGTGTGTGTAAAGATTTTGGCTGATTCTGGTGTAAAGGGTACTACGATCTGAACTTTGAACTCGTAGTATATCTTATAGTTTCCTGTATTCTAGCCCAGCATAGGTAACCCTCAATATGTTTTATCAATATATTTTCAGTGATTGGATTGGATGGATCGTTGTAATAATTATATTGTACTAAGACCCGAAGATGGTAGACTTTTTATGAAGACATGGATAGTTCATTCTGTACTTAACATGAATATTTTTTGGAACCTTTATTTTATAAGACTTTATTTTCAACCACAAAACAAAAGAAAAACAACTTGTACACAAAACTTTTATTTACTTTGGCGATACAAAACTAGTTCTGATATAAATCATACTAAACAAGACCAACTGGTTACTGGCTCATTGCGAAATCATCACAGTAAACCAGTCAAGTCACTAACATTTGACATCGTCTCTACATTATAAAAACTATGTTTAAATTGTACTCGATTAGGAAGGTACTTACACTAATAATATCATACTGAATCATCCAAAAGAAAAAAAGGTTTATCACATAAATTTTTGACATATTATTTTCTATATTGATTCATTCTAGTGTGTTAGTAATAAAGGAATGTAAAATAAGAAAAAATATACTTTAACACAAGCTTGTGATTAAATATTTTGACGTAAATATCTATTTTATAATCTCGTGTCATGGGTAATAAAAATTAATAATAATAAAAAGCATTTAAGACTAATAAAACTCAATTTGACCACACGGTTAATTTTAAGACTCATCTTGCAGTTGTTCACTTTGAGTTTTCGTGGAATACAGAGTACTACGGGGTTATGTTCTACGAATTTGTAGCTTATTCCACAAAGGACTTAATGCTTTCCAAAAAGGTACTACAGAATAAGGTTAGAATATGGCAAAAGGGTAGGCAGTTCAAATTAAAAATAAAAGAGGGAAGGCTCCTACAAGATTCCGATGACGCCGCACGCCACCCGACCGCCTGCGTTGCCAGTCTTCCTCGAGTCGGGGTGGTCGCTCCTTCCGAAGTCGTCAGCCTTCTCGTGGAGTACCACGGCGCGGCCGATGATGCTGTGTGCCCCTCGGAGGGATATCTGGCTGTCCACGAAGTCGATGTCGGCGACGCCTTGCTCGTTGAACCGCACGTTGCCGAGGTCGCCCACGTGGCGAACTTTGTCGTTGGGGTGGCCGTGGTCAACCTAAAAAGGGTTACATAAAATCATGAGGTTCGTCTTCACTGCTGAAACTTGATGTTTAAGATAACAGAAGTAAGTGGAGGATGATATAATGGCCTATAGCACCACGCTGGGTGTTGTTCACACATAATACTTGTTTATTACTATGAGTTACTGTATAAATTACATTTGGCAATGAAGGTTAATTGAAAAATGAGGAAGTCAATACTGGTCAAAAAGAATAATGAGATTCAAACAGTGATTATATGTACTGGAAGAATTTACTGATGTGTCAATTCCTTGTCATCAGGTTCTGCTGAATAATTCAAGATAATAATAATAATAATAGTTCAGCGGTAGTCGAGGATCGAACTAGCACCCTGGCCGACAGTGTAACACCGAAATGTTGAACTATTACTGCCTCAATTAGGTAAGTTTATGTCTAAATAAAATTACTATAAAACATTATCTGTTGTGAAAGGATAAGAAAGGCTCTTTCCACGCCTTGTTATCCGAAGAATAACGCCCGTATTCACAAACATTACTATGCATATGAGGTCTCACAGTGCGCGTGGACGCATAGTGTGACCTACGAACCACTCACAGAGCTCTATTCAACGCTGTGCGTTCCATTTGCTGCTTCACTTAAGCAAGCATCGTTTGTGAATACGGGCATAAGAGAGCAAAACTTTAATCGTCAAACTGACTCACGCCCTTATTCACAAAAATTACATTGAGGTCTCACAGTGTGCGTGAACGCACAGTAAGATACACGAATAAATCACAGAGCTCTATTCAACGCTGTGCTATGGCTGTGCGTTTGATTTGCTGCGTCACTTAAGCAAGCATCGTTTGTGAATACGGGCGTCAAAATCTAACCTTTAGATGTCAATCAAATCTGTGGGCAACGGTAATCATTCATCATGAGGTGATCCATCAGCTCATTTGCCTCCTGTCCCATGAAAAAGTCAATTCCCTCCTTACCTTCTCGGGGTTAAAGTGCGCTCCAGCGGTTGCACAGCCTCCACTAACATCTCCCTTCTCATGAACATGGAAGCCGTACTCGCCAGCGGGCATGCCGGTGATGGTGCCCTGCACCCTGACTTTCCCACCCTCCACCTCGTTGAAGTTGATGGTCCCGTGCACATCGGTGCCTAACAGGAACACCGTGGCGGAGTGTTTCTCGTCCTGAAAGGTTAGTGCCCAAATTGGAATTTAACATGATTGAAATCCAGTTCTGACACCTATCCCACCACAGACGAAAGCGATCCAAAATTAACACTATACAGAGTGTTGATTTCAATTGCTTATCATATCGGATTGCCTACTGAAGGAAGCCACGTAAAGTAGGTAATGTAAATAGGTATTTTTCTTTAACTAACTAAAGTTAAAGTTCGTTATTTTTTCGAATTCAATTTTTTTACTGATTCGTGATCAGAATAACCTACTTAATCAACTCCCTAAATATGGCGAGGATTGAAATCAACACCCTGTATGTAGGTGATCGCGGAATTCTCACAATGCTGGAGAGAGAGCTAATGGAGAGGCCATTAGCTTGTCACATCGACAATAATGATGGTCAATATTACGCCTAGAGTTTTGCCATCATTCTACTCTACAGTGCCAATTACCCACCGCATTCACATAGCCTACCAAGAGAACTATCAAACCAAAATTACAATAGGTTTTTACTCGGTTTTGTAATCTCTAGCTCTACTCACTTCTCATCAATCGTTAGTCTACTTTTTTAAATTCAATGTGGTTTCAATAATAACTAATTGGGACCGAAAATATAGCAAATACACACGTTGAAAGTTTTTGAATCACAAACTTACCACATCGTGGTGGGCTGCCACGATCGCCACAGACACCAAAGCTACTGCAAGTTTCAACATGTTGAACTGGATAGTCTGAAACATAAAACACTTATTTTACAACAAAAATCCAAGTGGCAAGTTTTTACGGTAACAAATACTTTAAAGATACAGAAAACAAAGGAAAGCTCATGGATGCACGAGTGAACGTTTTTAACTAAGGCCCAGAACAGACGGTGAAACGCAACTGCAACGAAACTGCAACTGCTAGTTACTTTTGAGTTGCATCTAAGTTTCTGCCATAGCGTCCGTTGAGAGATCACACATGACGCGACCAGTTTGAAACTTTCATTCATCAGAATCATCAGAAAGTTGCAGTTTCGTTGCAGTTGCGTTTCACCGTCTGTTCTGGGCCTTAGTCTTATCAATACCTACTTAGTTGCACACGTAATTAAGATAATAAAACACAATCCCAAGCAATAATAAAGGTCACGGGTGAAACACAATGTTTTTCTCGATACGAAAACATGTGACTAATCATTATATTTTTATTACGAGCATGACTTTTCCCGCGGTTTTGTTTACGTGAATTTCGCAGGTGCCTAGGTTTATGTTACCTTTATGTCATCTATCAATTTCCGATCGAGAAACTAGAGTAAAGGCATTTTTTATTTTATTTATCTGCCTGTTTTTCTGAAAGGTTTTCACGCATGCACCGCTGAAGCTACTTTCATGAATTTAGATATAAATTTGAATTAGAAATAGACTATACACTTTCTATTCTTTTCACTGTTCTGTAAATAAACTACTTGAAAAAATTGAGAAGCGGTTCTATTTGCTAAGAAATTTTAATAACTATAGGTACGCTTCATTGCAAAAAGGGGTGAAATAATATAATATACATACATTAATGCTATACAAAATTTAGATGGGGAATCCCTAACAAATGTACCTACACGTAAATCACTAATAATATTAGATGACGATAAGACAATCCACTAATGTCAGTTTAATACTTTGTGGTCACTGAGTTATCGTCAGTTAATAAATAAACTTAATGATAATGACAGTTATTCAATTGTTTACAAACGTTGCGCAACAGGCGTGAAATTATTTAAGAAGAACTACTTATTTTAATAACTTTAAGTTAAAATTAAGACTAGGATAGACTGCTATTACAATATTTTACTGCTATAAAACTTAAGCACTCATGTTTAGTATTATACATACATGTAGTAAGAAATTGATTTACGTAAGTTTTACTGGCTATCTATTTAAATAAAATAAATTCTAGATTAAACTCGATTCAATTCTAATATCTAATAACATTATATATAAAAAGTATCTACTTATAGACTAAAAAATAAACAAAAATTGGAATTGAATAAGTATTATTTGTATGCATCTTTTCTTTAAATATTAACTAGCTGACCCGGCGAACTTTGTTCCGCCTTAATGGCAATAAATAACGGGATAAAAAGTATCCTATGTCCTTCTCCTGGCTCTAAACTACCTCCCTGACAATTTTCAGCTAAATCGGTTCAGCCGTTCTTGAGTTATAAGCGAAGTAACTAACACGACTTTCTTTTATATATATAGATGAATGCATAGCTTTTTTGCATCTTACTTCATCCGACTGACCATGTCCATGATTTAATACCGAATATAATTAAATTGCTTGAGATAACAGGAAAACGAACAAGACAAACAATGAAACAATCAAATAAGCAAATAAACAATGGAAGTTTCTTGTACTTGATGGTCATGATACATCAATCATCATGATCATCATCATCATCACTTGAACTTGAACTTGTCACATTAAATAATGTAAGTATCGATCGAATAAAATACATTGTTTGATTTTCAAATACTACGATCGGAATTTTCTTAGACAATGCAATTCTAAGATTCATACGCCTATTTTTTTGTTTTTGCAAAATAAGAATGTATTTTAGGGGTCCAGAATGCCTAGTTTCAGGCTCTATTTGAGTACGTGTTACATGGATAGGGTGGGTAAAGTGTGTATTTATTATGACATTTATTCAGACTGATAATAAAGTTTATCTCCAGCTGATTATTTCAAAGATCCGCGACAATATCGATTAATCTAGAATTTATGATCCCATTCGCACAAAAAATCTACTGCAACTTGTTTATTGTATTACAATTCAAGATATATTATTTACCTACCTACTTACGAGATTACTAATGTTAAGATGAATTTCAGGAATCATTTACAGTTAGGTAAATATTTATAAAAAATAAATTCAGATTTTAATTTGTGCTTACAAAATAGGCAGGTACTTTGGACTAAATGACCGAACGAAAGACTAAAAACCTACCTCTTATTTTAAACCTGCTTCTTATTTTATTTTATCACCGACTTCTAATATTAAAAAAACAATATACAAAGACGACTCACCTCTCCGGCTTCTTCTAGAGAATGGTTGCGCGCGCATACGATCCGTAATAGTGTTGCAATTACTGGCCACTCTACTCTGACCCCTCACAGCACACAACCAGTTACTATTTTATTCTAAAATCGTTTCAAAGTCGCACTTAGAGGAGGTCTAGCTTTCTGGTCAGAGGGACCGCGACCGGTCCGCCAAGCCGGCTAATCAAAATAAACGAGTACACACCTCGTATAAGGCTAACATAGTACGCTAACACCGTCAGTAATCTCAATCAACATAATGTAATAATAACTTGTTTATGAGGTCTGAAAAATAGCCTTAAAGCCTTTTCACCTGGAAAAACACTGTGAATAACGGCATAACTAGCTCAAATCTACATAGAAGCAAATTGCAAAACATAGTAAATGGTACTACGGGACCATTCCCGCCTCTCGTTACCACCGCTGCAACTCCTGTGTAGCCAGATCACAGTTTGACCGTTAAAAACTAACCAGTGAAGGTCAAGTTTGTCCTAGGGGTAAATGGTACCACGTTAATCTGTGACCATCACCATAATACGTAAGTACTTATGTACTCGTAAGATAGGAGCTAGGAAATGTGTTAAATGGATAATACACTTACACACCAATACTGGATTTAATGTGCCTTGTTAAGCACATGTCGAATTGTGCGTACAATAGTGACGGACAAAAATTAGTTCGTGAGCAGAATTAGTTACACAGTCCGAATACAATGGAATAAAAATGGTTGTACGCATGTGTGAGTACTGAAGCGAGGACTCTATTTGTTAGTAAGTACTCGTGGTAAGTACTTGTCTATTAAAAAAATTGGCCTTTCTACATAGTAAAGTGTGGCATAAGTTTATCAACACAAGTTGCCTGCGTAAAACATGTTAATTAGGTTTACAAATTACTTTTCCTTAATTGATAGTAATCTAGAGTAAACCACAAAGTAAACCGTACCGAGTTTAAACCGTACCGAATACAGAATTTAAAAACCTATATAAAAATGTTCATTTTATTACACTAAACTACCTTGATTGAAGGTTCTTCATCCATCGATAAATTAAAACAGTTTTATTTCAGCCTCTCGTCCTTTTGATCCAATGTCACGATTTATGCATAAACGGTGTCATTTCGTAACCATTACCTACTCGTTTGACTGATCTATAGATCATGCTGTATTATGTGCTCATTCGCAATTGATCAACATCAACATCAACAACGGTTCAGCCGGTCGCACTTGACACAGTTTGGAACACGTACGATTATGTATGTAATATCGATCTACATTCTCTTTCCAGATGATCTACGTGTGTAACAGATTTAATTAATAAATTAATTAAGCAGAGGTAAAAATGGTTTTAATTGTACCAACTCTACTAAATCATTTATGATAATTAATTCTTCGAAAGATCAATAACATCGCTAAAAATATATTTTCCTCTTTCATGACATGACAATGACGAATTAAGGAGGAAAGAAAATTAAATTGGATTTCTTTATAAATCAAAATCACCGAATGAATATGAGATTGGTTATTTATAAATAAAGTTGGTCTTTTTTGTGTTAACATTGGTTTAAGATCAATAAATCATTCGATTATATAAATAACTTGAACCAAACCGGTTTATAGTCATCAATATTCGAGTCAAAATTAGTTAATTCCATACATATGTAAGTAGAGTCTATTTTCGTTTCTCAAAACGTTTAAAAAACCTAAAAAAATATGTCTCAAAATCATCACATAACTATTATTTTGACGCAGACGGGTAAAACATAGCATTATAAACCTCCTCTCTTTCGCTCACCACAACAACGCTGGGTTTGAACAAAAAACTCACGATTGAACTTTCTCAGAAAGAGTCTTTAACTTTTCTTTAATTAAAGAGTTTAAAAAAGCATTCAAAACTTACCAAACACAACCTTTTTGCTCTTAAAATCACAGAAAAATCACGAGTTTTCACTGAAAACTATCACTACCTGCGCGCGCGCCTTCCCAACGTGACTGAGCGCACTGGCGATAGGTGCGACTCAACACAGCATGGGGGTCAACAAACAGCAATCAAGGCGAAGGATGATGGGTGCAGCATCGGTACCACTATTATAGCGTTTCACAGGTTTTTATGGCATAAAACATGTGATCAAAGTTACCATAGTAGGTACTTTTTGCAATATCAAAATCACAGTCGAAAAATTTTGAATATGATAATGTTTTGTAGGCGACCTTTTACTTGCTTTTACTCATTTCTTTCCTCCTTATTCAAGCACAGAGCTGCAGACTAAGATTATTGTAGGCTCTGACGATCTCTACATGAGAAATTATGTCATGTTGTATTATTTTTGAAAAGGATGAATTAATACTCTACCATTATGACTTTAGTGTATTATACTAATTTAGTCCCTTTTTGAACCGACTTCTTACGATGTAGGTAAGATTTCAAGGTATTAGCATAAAAGTAATGGAAGTCGTCAACGATGACTTTTATTATCACTTTTATTGATATTCCACAGAAATCAACCTGCGTCACAAATATAAAGTAAATCGTGACATAATCTTGGGTCGGTTCGAGATGAATAATACATCTACCTGATAAAAATCGAGGGCAAAGTATGATACAGATCATCGTCAAGGTCAAGGATGATAATAATAAGTATTGAAGTGCATTTTTTACTTCAGTTTCCTCATAGTTCTGGGCTCTATACCTACATTAACTGCTGTATGATGAAGATCACTAGTTTAATTTATCAATTAAATACATGGATTGAATTAGGGATATTCGATATACATCGATGTATTGAAAACATCGATGTTTACAATGCGATACATCGAATGGATCCGATGTTTTGAAAAGCTATTGAAATACTCGATGTATCGATGTTTTTTAAGTTTTCAGTGTTAAAACATCGAATCGATGATAACACATTAAAATTTCATAAAACTCAAGTCTAACCACTAAAATTTTACTTTTACGGACAACCCAACTTGTATTTTTAAAATGTTGGCACAACTGCGTACGATTGCAGTGAGTAGTGTCCATGAAGCTAAAGATTAAATGGAGGCCACACTTCAAATACCTACTTGAAGCACAAGCTATGTATCACTATCTCGCTCTCTGTGGGCAGACAATAAGTGTAAATACTGGTAAAACGTTTTAGGAAGAAATTACTGTGAAAATACAAAGAAATAATTATGTTTACAATGATCCAATGTCGGAAATCACGAAATAAACACTTACGCGTGGAATCTTAAGTCACTTCCCGGACACCACGTACTACCGCAACCACGCACTACAAAATTTTGCACCATTTCTTGTGATAAAACAATGATTAGGTCCTGTAAAAAATCTCAAAAGAAATTAACTGCATAGTAAACAAAATAGTAAACAACCGCCACGATGGGCCGGATTGGGCTGATGTTGCCACATGGTACCGATTTCCCAGGAATTGGGATTGTAATTACCTGATTCGCCAACACATTTAGCCTAAACGGCCGACAATTTTGTGATTTTTAATTTAACTAGGTAATCGTAGTTCAAATATTTAATTATTTATTTGTTTAACTTCTGATTTGGTTAGTGAATTGGCTATTTCGAAGAATTTAATAGGACATTTAATTAAGGAGATAGCAATACTACAGTCCACACTAAAAAGAGAGGTCGGCCCACAGAGAGCGAGATAGAGATAAGTAGGTATTTGACTGAAGTTTTTGTTCCAAGTGTGGCCTCCTTTTTTATCTAAGCTTCATGGGTAGTGTCTCTAGTGACAATAAAAAAAAAGTTATGTCAATGTCGCGTCACGCGTGTCGGTTGGCGAGTTTGTTTGTGTCAATCAACAAAGAAATAGGCTGAAAGGCAAACGTTTAAATAAACTGTTGTTTTTGCAAAGTCTTCCAAAAGAACACTGGAAATAGTTACTTAGGATATAACAAACTTATAAAAATAAATGCGGATGTTTTTTTTTTGTTCTTACTTTAATATAATATGAAGGTTTTTCTCATGTATGGCTTTTACTGTTTTTAGGGTTCCGTAGCCAAATGGCAAAAAGTCCGTCCGTCCGTATGTCACAGCCATTTTTTTCCGAAACTATAAGAGCTATACTGTTGAAACTTGGTAAGTAGATGTATTCTGTGAACCGCATTAAGATTTTGATGCAAAAATAAAAAAAAAAAATAAATATTGGGGGCTCCCCATACTTAAAACTGAAACTCAAAAATTTTGGTACATATCTATGGATAGGTCTTCAAAAATGATATCGAGGTTTCTAAAATACTTTTTTTCTAAACCGAATAGTTTGCGTGACAGACGCTTCCAAAGTGGAAAAAAGTTGCCCCCCCCCCCCCTTCTAACTTCTAAAATAGGAAAATGAAAAATCTAAAAAAAAACATTTGATGTACATTACTATAAAAACTACCAACGAAAATGTTTTGAATGAGATCTAGTAAATANAAAATAGGAAAATGAAAAATCTAAAAAAAAACATTTGATGTACATTACTATAAAAACTACCAACGAAAATGTTTTGAATGAGATCTAGTAAATAGTTTTTTTTAATACCTCGTAAATCGTAAACCGCTTATTACCGCGTAATCTGTCATACTAATAACTTAAATTAAAAAAAAAAAAAATTCATAAATCAATGGTACGGAACCCTTTGTGCGTGAGTCCGACACGCACTTGGCCGGTTTTTTAATAATACAATGCTTAAATTAGTGGATTATAAAAAATGTTTAAAAAGTACTCGATTTATACAAAACATCGATGTTTTCTTCCAATACATCGAAAGAAATCGATGTACAGTTTCAATATATCGAATCGAAAAAAACATCGATGTTTTTTCAAAGTGGACACCCCTAGATTGAATTAGAATTTTTGCAATTCATTTGTCAGCATCGCTATTAAAAGTTACGCTACCAATAAGTTGGACTCTACATAAAAAATATTAGATTTGCGCCATCTACCGGGGTGGAGTAGAACTTATTGCGCGCCGCACATTCATTGTATAGAACCAGCTCCCATGACCATCACTAAGCACTAATAGCACCTACTGTGAAATGTTTTTATAACTGAAAAAGCCAGATGTCGTTTATTATAAAAAACCATTTGTTGCCACAAAAAATTTAATGTAAAGTGATTTCACTAACCCTTCATTTAGCGCTGGTTTGTGTACAAAAAAAACAAACAATATTAACATCCTAGCAGGTCAAATACCGTAACCTAGTATTATAACCGGCAGCTTTACCCTACCTGAATACCTACATGAAAAACCTTTATTTCAAATCCTTTTTGGACATCCCCACTTGACACCACAAAAAGTCCTGGCCACGCCGAAAAAAAAACTTTTACTGACAATCGCCGTCACAACTGTCAAATCAGCCACCGCGAATCCACGATGGAGTAGCTGTAATGAATCGCGACTTCGTCTTCAACCACGACCAGGACCGACCGAGCGTGTGGTCGAGGGCTGGGACCACCCTGCATAGGTGGATGTGGGGGGCACTGTGCTGTGGGGTCCCGGGGGTCCCCTGCTACTTCTGCAACTGCTGCGAGAGGCTGGACGATGCTAATGCTGATCGGGACAGGCCTAGGGTCAATCGTGAGTGGCTTTCATGATATTAGTTTCTTAGGCATTGTGCTAACAAAGGTCAGGCTTCGAGATATTATGAAAGCTGATAACCTTTCTTAAGTACACCTTTTTCTAATGTTCCTTAGGCAAATGTGACTTATTTCAAATAAATAGTGATCAAATCTAATATAGCTTCATGGAAATTTCGTAGAAAGCCAAACGAAAAACTTGATGTACCTAGTACTTTGTCAATGTCCACCTGTTGTTGTCAAGGTTGATAAGGAACCAACATAAGTACGAAAAAGTCTACAAATGTTAATTTCGGTAAATAGCGAAAAGCAAGCACCAATGATGAAAGCAAGATTGTCTAGTAGAGACACTTATTCTGACAAGTGTTCCGTTAAGTTAAACGTTGTGAATTACTTACCGTATGGACAGCCTAGGCTTCGTTTTAAAATCCTTTTCACCTCCAACAAGAAAAACGTGGTCTTTTCCAGAAGCTACAGCGACTGCCGAGCGCATATCCCGGCCGCACAGACCTCACGCTCCCAGGGGAAGAAAGTCAACTCCTGAGATGCTGTCAGCCGTCCGCTGCGCCCTCAGCCAGCTCCAAGGAGAGCCAGCACCGCCCCTCCCTCATGCCGCCTCGGTGGGGCCCACGCCTGAACCCGGGTGAGGGGAAAAAAGGTCACGTAACTGTGGATGCGACACCAGAAACGTTTTAGTAGACATAGGATTAACCCGCGCAATCTTATTTGTCCTAGCTAGCCATTTCCCATTATTCGGGGTCGGCATTCCTAGTTCTGTCGCACCAGGACAGTCTTCAAAGTAACCAAAATATTTTAAGCTTTGTTTCCCTGTCTTAGGGGTAAAAACTTAGAAAAGCTTTGGAGCTTTTCTCACACTTATGACATATATTTTAATTGGCGTCTCTACAAAAGACTTCAACGAATCAGTCCTTTGAAATAATTTTGAATTAAAGTTATTATTACCAAATATTTTTAACTAATCATGTTATGTTAGAAAAATATAGCGTGGAATAACATTTGTTTCATAAACGTAAGGAATACTTAGATTTCGTAATTCTAGATGCTTCTAGCTCGTACACGTGAGCAACTTAAATAGTACCTTTAGTTCTGTCTATAGGATACCTCGTGGTGATAATCATTGTACAGTGTTCTTTATTATTTAGACGATGTTATTATTATGTTATTTTAATGCGTACCTTTATGTTTAATTAAAAGCTTTACCGTTAATAGTTTTTGTTCTCTAAATAACTTCCTACTTAATTTCTTATTAACTGGTATTTTTTGTTGGAAGTTGGATCGCGAATAACAATCATTTATGAGGATAAATGATATGGAAATCGTTTTATTACCTGAACTAAATACTTAAGATTAAACACCTACGTGCAAAAACACCAATAACTGATCCACTCCATCACCACACCTTGTACAGTCGGCCTTGGATAAAAGCCTTCACTGATTACAATGAGACATACCCTGTCTTTCAGGGATTCTCTTTCTTGCTGTCACTGCTAAACAATCTTGTATTTTATTGCTTATTGTAAATTAGTACTCATTAATTTTGATGCTGAAACTTTTTCAAAAAAATCTTTAAGATATAACAAGGTTTTTTTTTATAAAATAATTAAATCTTGTTCGACCTCATGCAAAACCATAACATACACAAGTTCAGATGTTCAATTTAAATTCAAATGTTCGATTAATTACAAATATTTTTGATTTATTTGAGCCGACTGTAAATTAAATTGTCTTAATTGAGCAAAAACAATTTAATGCAAACTCACGATTCGATCCGTTCGATGGATCATAACACTAAATAAGGCAGTAAATAATACGAAGGCAAAACATATTTAGGACTGTGGAAAATTCGACAATATATTTTTCAGGGTTCAATGGCCAGCATTTACATAAATCATTTCAAATCAATATTGATATTTTTCGTCATCCGTAAGGTTTTAGTTATGTCTAAATTGATTTAAGTATTTGGGTAACTAAAAAAATTCACATTGACACTAGGAAGGTATTATCTCTGATATTTTTTTCTGTACAATTTTGCATCATACACATTTGAAATTATCCAGTGTTTTTTTAAAATAGCATTGAACACATCTCCGGCCAGTCCTATTCGGAAGTGCGTGACTCTATAATGTGTTGTTTATTGCTTTATCATCGCCGAAACGTGGTGAAACATCTCCTAAACGAAAACCGCCTATTAATCAGCTGGCAGTACACAGCAATTATGCGCTTGAAGGCTGTTAATAACGGCCTGTACACGACAGCTGACTTCCAGCTTCCACCCAATACACTAAACAATGCCGTGTCTAAGTTATCATTACGTCATACGGCTCGATTACAGCCTTCTGCTTCGCGGCATCTCACGAAGAACACATAATCACAACGGCCTGAGCAGACGTCCTAGCACACCCATTAAGAAAAAAACATCCGACCCGATCATTGGATGCCAGTTGCTTGAGAAGTAAACACGCATCACGTTCCATTCTTGAATTTGAACTCGTTCCACACTTTTTCTAGTCGCGCAAAAAGTTTTCCTCATGAACCTCAGGCTGCACGTGTTTTTCGGCCAGTTCTTGTGGCTTGTCTCTGCCCTCAATGGGAAGAGCTTTCAAGGAGTTCCAGGGTACGGTCGCAACCTCGTCATCAAGGCGCTGCCGGCGATTGAAGACTACCAGAGCAATGTCTACGAAGTGTTCATGGAACCGTATCTATATGTAAGTAACTTTTGATTTTATTCATGTTGTGTGCTAAGAATCCTTCGATTTACTGATTGTCAATTGTTACCTTACCTTGTAATGACAATGCGCTCATTATGTGACCCGAGCACGTATTACAAATGTTTGGTTAGACACATTTGGTTTTACTCGTAAATAATGTCTGGGAAAGGTTAACTGCATTATCAACACGTATTCAGATGAGATTAAAAATCTGCTTAAAAATAAGATATTTTAAAATTTACGTTCAAATCATTCAAAAATGCTCAGGTATAAAAACTAACTAAGCAATTAGGCAAAAAAGAAAGAAGATTTACCAGATAGTTTTTAAACTAATTAAAATTCATCGCAAAATTGATGTAATTACCGGTCGCGTTTGAAACCAACGACACGGCCTTGTTAAAAATTCAAAGACTATCCAAGAAAATTCAGATTTATAAAAATCTCCTTATCCTGGGTTAGAAAAAGCTACCAATTAATCAAGGTATACCTACCTACTTACTAATAATTCGTTTAAGATATAATTTCATGTCGCCTTTTTTCTGCAATGTCAATAGCCTAATCCGTATAATATTAATTAATTAATTAGCTATCCGGATTAGCACTGACAACTTTAAGACCTGTAGCTGTCAACTTTTTACCGCTACGGCAGTTTGTTGAACCGCAGTCGCCAATTCGATTCTGTGTTCGAGCAATTACTTTTTTCTTGCTTTCCGGTCCGTGAACTTGAATGGTTCTGCGATTTGACATAAAAAGTTTGCCAAATTAAAGTATTTTAGAGAGAAAATTGCGCGAATGACCGGCAGTCATTGTCAATTTAAAGCAATTTGTAACTACAATAGAAACATACAATAATACTTTCCCTCGACAAAAAAAAAACAAATACAGTTAAATGAATATTCTATGGATTCATTTCATACCATAGCTCTACTTCAAAGCTAAAAAAACTAGATAAAAAATTGGCGGGAAAACTCTACGATAATTATTTTTAATTAATTTTGTAAACTGTATGCTGTCCGAAAACTAAAGGTTACCGACAAACTAGCTTAACTACCCTAAATAGGTTAACTAATTAAAAAAACTGCATACAAATAAAATAAAATATAAAATAAATCCTCCATGTATTGAAATGTCATTGCTCTACTTCAATCACAAAATTGTTGAAAAATTGGCGGGAAAACTCCACCCACGATCAACGATTCTTGCGCTATATTTAATATTATTCTAAAATGCATAACATGACTATTACAATGACAAAGGAATGGTAATTTTATTATCATAGTGAAAAACTGATTTCAGGCTGGAGAAAAGAGAACTAAAGGCGTATTTATTTACAGGACCTTAGCCGACCGGCGTTCCCCCTAACGGGCAGCCGGGCCGAGAAACAAATCGACCTGGCTTTTGTAAGTACTCGATTAAATTAATCGATTAATAATCGATAACCACCCTGCAATCTGGGTGTGTCTCTTACTTCTTTGAGATTTACCTCTTTCTTCCTATTTTACATCTTTTGTGTGAAACGCATGTAAAAACCTACTTTACTTTTTAACTGACGGCATGTAACTTTAAATGAATACTTCAACAAATTAACTCTAGGTCTGCATGAAAACAATTAACTTTCAGTCTTATCTATAATAATGAAATAAATAACAACCTCCTAATGTACATGATACAGTGTGCTGTGCACTTAAATTGCAGCCAAGGAGTTAAATTAATAAGACTAATCCAAAAATCTATTCATGTTCTAGGACTTACCTAGTCCTACCTTATACCTATTCTCTACTAGACGATGAAGGGAAATCAAATTTTCTTGTACTTATAAGATCTATCAAAAGATGTTCTACATTTCTTTATTTTAGTTCTCTTTTCTCTACATACTTACCTTCTTATAACCAAAATTTCTAACATACCTAATAAGTCTTGTTCTTTACATTATTTTTAATCTCTTTTAACGCAAGTCGATAGTAAATAAGAAGTTATGTAAAATTAATTGCATAGCCTTTGAAATAGTTTTTCCTGTAAAACAGAAGTTGATTGAGGTCAGAAATAATTACAACTATGATATTGATTTTATTTTCTTTACAATTCACAATGAAACTAATTACTGTAACCCTTCAAGGTCTTTTGTAACTAAAACTGCTATTAATTTGCGATCATGCTGTGACGTCATTGATTAGTTTTTAATAATCTTACCGTAATTATTATCTTTATTAACTTCCTCCTCATTCATACTAGCTTCCTTGATTCCTATGCATGACAAAATCTCTATGATCGCTATGACAATGGCCAATTTAATGGCAAAATTTTCAAATGCCGTGTTAAATGACCAAGACTTATGAAACAAAACATGAATTTAAATTTTATTAATTGCGTGCTATGAATATCTTTCCCATCGCACTTCATTAATTAAAAATCCGAAGCGTTTTTGTTTTGAACGTTTTTAATTAACGCCGTCATACAGGAAGACCGTTAATTTTTTTTTGTTTTTCAAAACAAATCTATCTAGCCTGTGCCTAACACTGAAGTCACTAAACGTTTTTGTGGGGTCTTTAAAAACTTAGAAAATCTTTCATTAGAGTCCATTTTATTTACGACTGTAGATATAATATGTAACTATCTAGTTTTTAGAGTGTTAACATCGGTAGCCGCATTCATCAGCTTAAATCCTAATCCCTAATCAAATTAAAAGTCTGTTTACCCGCCTGAAGAATCGAACCTAAGGTATTCTGATGAAACACTCACTCTTCGCTAACCACTAGGCATATTGGATCTATAGTTTTGCCATTTATTTTTGTTGTGCCATTTAATATAATTATGCTATTATTTGTTATGCAAGTCGATCCCTACGGCTTATAATGATCACAATAATGTCAATATTAATTTATTATCATTTGAGATGACTAACACCTTGAGCTGATGTGTCTGGGTTATGTCACAGGTCCCGTGTTAATGCCGTTGCGTGCGGGTAAACGCTGATGATAAACCGGCCTGACGAGACCAAGGACGCGTAATTGACGAATCTAATAGACCAAGGGTTATTTTATGGGGAAATAGCACAGATGTTCAATCGTTATTTATAAAGCAAAAAAAACTAATCCGTATATTAGCAAATATCAAGCCCAAAGACAGTTGTAAACCTTATTTTCAAAAGTACAAAATTCTAACCTTGCCTTGTATCTACATTTTAAATATTTGTAAATTTGTCCGCTCCCACTTTGAGTTTTTTACCAAACGCGAAGAATCATGTCCACAATATAATTTGAGAAATAAAAATAAATTAAAAATACCAACCATCCGCCTAAATTTATCTTCTTCAAGCACATACAATATGGCCATAAAAATATATAACAAATTGCCCGATCATTTATTAAAAGAAAATAATAATAGTAAATTCATAACAGGACTAAAAAAGCTACTAACTACAAAATGCTATTACACCATAAAAGAATATTTAGACGATAAAATTCATTAGCGATGTACCTAAACTATAATTTTCTATCTATGATAAAAAGAAGCCTCCTCTCTTATACATTTTTAGTTTGCAGCGCCCAACAGGGTCCTTAATGATCTCCAAATATAACTATGTAACACCTAAATGTACTATTAAGGAAGCAATAAACTTATTGAGTATTGAGTATATACGTCTATAATGTTTATTACTTTAACCTGAAACTCGATAATTGTACTCAAAGCTTAAAACGATGCTCGAAAATTAATACCTATAAACCTTTACAAATTATGGTCAAGTAATCCCTTATCCCGCAGCAATGTGCGATTAGCGAACCCCAATTGGCGATTCGGGCTATCTGCATGTTATACCGGTTTCTCTTTCTTAAAATACAATTTTACCAGTCGTGATTATAGTATTACAGACTAATAAATTGCTCTAGCATGACACTAAACAATCTTCAATGCTAAAATTAAATATCAGAAAAACGCTCAAAAGGTTTTAATACGCAGTAGGTTTACGAAGTTTTTGACGCCTACATAAATATTTATAGCAATCTCTTACACTTTACAGTAATGAGCCATGTTTTACTTTTGACTTAAAAACAAGCATTATTTTGTAATCCAATCATAGTTTAAACATTTTGTAAGTTTAGTTTTAATGTACCTACATTAATTTGCAGATTAAAGATATCAAATAATTATGCACAAACAAAAAAGTTTCGTAATATAATTTTTAAACTTGTAAGTAACTTTGCCGTTGTATAATTTTCAGGCGCCACGCTCGGCTCCTGGGCTACAAGCGATCGTCCACCTGCGCCCTGACGCGGAATCTGGCGTCGAAGGGACTCTCATATTCACTCAAATCGTGCCCAATGGTCCGGTGACCGTGGAAGGCAACGTGACGGGGTTGGCCCCCGGCTTGCATGGGGTCCACGTCCACCAGACTGGCGCCATCGATGATAATTGCAACGATATAGGCCCGCACTTCATTGCTTACTACGTGAGTATGACTTTAAAATACTTGACAGACTGCAGAACAATATGAATCTGGCACAGCCAGCAAATAAGTTTGCTTATTTTACCTAGCTGCCTAAGTAGGTACGTCGTGACCATTATAATATCATTAAGGCCAAAGTAACTGTAACACCCTTAACATCAACAAAAGTAAGTAGGTAGGTAGTTATTCTAAGATTGCTTTAGCTGTTATTTGCACATTTTTCTCCAACTAAAGGGTTTTATTTAATGCTTCTGAAATCACATTTTTATTTACGCCACATTAAGATTTATCAACCTCGCGAGAACATTTAAGATTATACTTAAATTTTTACTTGATTACCAGCAGTACCAGTACTTATCAAGCAATTAAAAACAAATTGCGACGATGGCATATGAAGGTGATCACTGTGGCGCCTTACCTACTTAATTGGTTGCATTTTTGCTAACAAATCTATAGTCTAATGTACTGTTAACTACAGGAACTTTAAAAAAATTTCGTCTCATGAGTGGGTAGGTAGATACCTAATATACGGTTATAAAATGTTAATTACTCATTTTCATCGCCAGGGCCGTCACGGAGGGCCGCGCGACCACATCCGTCATGTCGGAGACCTTGGCAACATAAAAGCCGAGGAAGGCCCAGTCACCGTGAAAATCGTTGACCACCTGATCTCCCTAGCTGGCCCGCGGTCCATCGTGGGCCGGTCGCTGGCCATCTCCAAAGATGAAGACGACTACGGCCGGTCCAGCACTGAAGATAGCACGATGACTGGTACATCAGGCCCTGCTGTGGCTTGTGGGGTCATTGGGTACCTGAACTAGATTAAGTGATGCTGTGTTTGATTGGTGATGATGAATTAAATGACGAATTTGTATTAATTTAATGACTTTGTTAAGAGCCTTCTAATGTTTTGTAGGCAATTCCCAATATAAATGAATTTGCTAATAGTTTTTTCCTTAACATAGAGGAATTCTTCATTCAACTTTTGTTTATTTGACCTCCAAGTACAGTCGCGGAATGAAAAGGTTCGTCAGTTTTCAAATTGATTCCTTCAACGAATCGCGAGCACATATTACCTTTTGAAACTATGTTACTGAATAATCTCGAGTTAGAGAAAATAATCTTTAGCTGTTCGTCAGTAAAGTTCAAAATTATTCAGATCAAAGTTGTTTGACGATTTATCTTGTCAAGGAGATTATTATGATTGATAAACTTAAACCTTCTTGTTGGTTGAAACTGCCATTATTATTTCTATTAAAAAAAAACTACATTTTGTAACATTGCACTGATGGGATAGAAAAATAAACAAGCAAAACCTTATTCGTTAGCAAACGTCATTTATTTATTTAAATGTTAGCAGCACTGTTTCTTGCACGGTTATGTTGGCAAGTTTGACTCTTACAATATCTAGTGCAAGCGAAAACCGACACTAAGGTGACAAACCTTTTCATTCCGCGACTGTACATAATAGGTACATACAGGGTGGAATTTTGTAATGACACCTGGAGGGAAAGTACTCTTAATATTGTAGAAAGAATTTTTTTCTCAAAAAAAACATTCCTTTATTTTTGAAAAGAAATAGAACTGCATACCTCTTTAATTGAACATTTCAGAGATTTGATTTGAAATTCTATTGCAACATCTGTGTATAAAATGTTTCCATAAAGGCAATGGACATAGTGTAGGTACCTAGTAAAGAAAATGAGAGTATTGTTTATAATATGCGATAATTTGGTTACGTATCACATCTAATTAAATTAATTTTGTTCTTGTACTAATTGGACAAAGTGACATGAAAAATACTTGCCCCGAAAACGGCAGTTAATTTATCAATTGCTTTGCAATTTTCCAATTATGAAATAAACGAATTTTATGATTAAAATTTTAATGTGCGTGAAGCTACATGCTAACAATTAATTGTGGACTATTGTATGATACTAAAATGATAATACAATCATCACGCGTAACTAAGTTAGTCCTTTGATAAGATTGATCTTGCAGTTTAATGTGAGTTTAATCATGATTTTATCAGTTATAGGCGCCATTTGGCAGATAACCAATCATTCTAATAATTTATAACTAATAAATCCTTTCGTCCCTATCTACACCAGCCTATAGGCAAGTTAATATAAAATATTATCAAGGACTGCATTAAAATAAAATCATAAAAATAAAGTAAATTGATTTATTTCAAAGAATATACAAAACTGTAACAAAAAATGATAAAAGTTCGACTTTGGAGCACCAAGATTGTGATTTCAAAAAAAGCAATAACAAAAGTTGTCCTTACATAATTATTGTGATTTCGTATAAATAACCTAGTTGTGCCTATACCAGCAATATAATAAATTACTTATTTTAATGAGACGGACGGCCGATTCCAGTTCATAGTATATTTTGACAAACTTGCAAGGCTTTCAGTGTTAACCCCTTGAGGTCCGCCCATTATGAACTAAGGCTAATTTAGTTATTTACTGGAGACCGATGGAAGCGACTAAGCCGTCCACTTTAGCGATGTAGGCCTTCTGGGCATCCTCCTTGCCAGTGCCCTTCTTGTTGGACCACGCCTCGAACTTGGCCTTGCCTTTGAAGTCTAGCATGCCGGGTTTGTCTGGAAAGAAAAACATAATATGAAGTCACGATTCTGTAACGTCAGTTAGCAAAAAACGGAACTAATAACCCAGCATTGATAGTAGCGCCCTCCTGTAAATGTCATAGCTGGGACGGTTCAGTGTTGCCAACACACTGTGTTGGACATCTATGATTATACTCGTACTCTGTGTAGCGATTTGAATAGATTGAGACTGGACAAATATTTCCAGTTTCTTAGAAAGTTATTGTGTAATGGAATAATTGACCAGTTGGACAAAATGTCATTAAAAACACATGCCCCGAAAACTCCACATAATTAGTTATGTATTACATGTGTTATTTGTGAGTAAGTGTCCAGTTACAGTTAAGTAATTTAATGACTAACAATTTTATTGTAACTTATGTTCGTAAAAGCTACATGGTAACAATTTATTTGTTGGACCATTATGATAATTATGATTATGCAATCATCACTGACTGAGTAACTAAGTTTCCTCATTTGATAAGATTGATCTACCTACTCGTAGCATAATCAAGAATTAAAAGATCTCGCTAGTATTAATTACAATTAAATCGTTTCATCTAAATCTACTTCGAATTTCGTACCGCCTAGGTGTGTTCATCAGAAATAATGTAGGATAATAGGATTCTAATGGTTAAAGAATTTTTTATATCGGTCCAGTAGTTTCGGAGCCTATTCGATACAGAAAATCAAATCTTTCCTCCTTATAATATTAGTGTAGAATAGGTGTAGATAAAGGAAACTGCATTAAAATAAAACCATAAAAATAAAGTAAATAATTTATTTCAAAGAATAATACAAAACTGTAACAAAGAAATGCAGAAAGTATGACTTTAAAGCACCAAGATTGTGATTTCAAAAAAAGAAATAACAAAAGTTGTCCTTACATAATTATTGTGATTTCGTATAAATAACTTAATGTGCCTATACCAGCAATATAATAAATTACTTATTTTAATGAGACGGACTTCCAATTCCTGTTCAAAGTTGTTTAAAAATAACAAACTTGCAAGGCTTTAGTGTTAACCCTTTGCGGTCCGCCCATTAAAAACTAAAGCTAATTTTGCACCCGACAAGAATGTTGTGAAACCGGTTATGGGCAGTTAGGTCGCGAAGAACGCCCGGGAAAAGTGTTCCGTCGCAGTTGGCTGGTCCCGTCGAGTCGATTACTAGTGTACGGTTACTGGAGGCCGATGGAAGCGACCAGACTCTCTACTTTCGCGATGTAGGCTTTCTGAGCGTCATCCTTGGAAGTGCCACTCTTCTTCGACCACGCTTCGAACTTGGCCTTGCCCTTCAGGTCGAGGAAACCGGGCTTGTCTGGAAAGACAGATATTCATGAGGATTATAGATAACCTGTGCAACGATTTGAATAGATTGAGACTCGATACTATACTACTGTCTGAGATTGGTAAAAGTTTTAAGACTTGCCAGGCTTTTACCGTTGTTGAGTAGGTTGTACAAATATCACCGGCTATCGTATAGGTAACTGTTACGAAATTCCAATGTGACGCACAGGACATCTGTTTAGTTGCATGTAAATTCAAAAGGCAATTTATGTAAATGTGAAAATTATTTTTAGATATAGACAAAGACAACTTTTTTAGCAAACCAATCAGTTACTTACATCTTTTTCTTATAAATAAAAATTAATTGATATTTGATTGTCTCGCTAAAACTCGTTCGGCTGGACCGATTTGGCAAATTTTTGTCTTGAAATATTTGTGAAAGTTCAGGGAAGGTTATAACAATGAAAAAACACATATTTTCTATATAAAAAAATGAGGCAATACAAAGTTCGCTGGGACAGCTAGTATAAACATATTTTTTATTGAAACGTATTCTTTCATCTATGACAACAATCTGAGTTACAAGTTCATCAGACTGTTCTCAAATTTTCACTGTTACAATCTCAGCAACTTCAGCAATGCCTGACGCTTGGGCATGTTGTCGGAACGGAAACGATACACATTCCACGCGTGATGCAACGCACTGATCGAGATGATCCAGTGAATCGAGTATTTAGTGGTTAATAGACTTTCTTTTCTTCTTTGATCGTTAGCTACGTCACGGTAACGTGGCTACGTGATATGATATGATATTCAAAAGAATATAACTAAATAAACAGTGGAAACACACCACTTATCAATTCAGACTTAGTTTAAGTTAAAAAAGTAAAGACATGCTAATAAAATAATAAGGATGATGTTTGAAATCCAATGTATACCTACCTAGGTCTTTACATTTTGTACCTATACCACATTTTATTTATTCCAATAGTAATATTCCACATTCGTTGATAAGGGGTGACCTAAAAATCATCGATCAATTTATATCACAATCCGATAGCAAAAAATACTTTTCTATCACTTTTAATCGTAATTCTTTTGAAAATACTCGTGATTAGAAACTTAATAGTATTATTAGATAATTTCTGATTAACCCGATATGCTCACTAATTACTTTAATTACTAATAGAAACCGGCGTCTAATATTTTCTTTGAAAACAAATACCTAAATGTAATTAGCTAGAAAATATTACATCAGATTAGGCTAAAATTTTTATCAAAATACGCGCGAGAGAAGCCGCGGGCAAATGCTAGTAAAGTCCGTTATTTCTTTTAATCCTTTCCTATAGTTTTGATTTAATCCTCAAGATAAGCACTACCAACACGTAGGTATTTGCATACGTACAAAAGGAGTGACTTTTCCTGCCAACTTAAAGTGCCACGTTTCCTTGACCTTGCCGGGCGACAATACTCCATTATTAAACGAAACAATGGATGAACTTTTGGCACTGTTATGAAACATTACTCAATAATTTCCAAATATAAATTCGGGTACACGTTTGCGATCAAAGTTCTTCAATTGGTTTTCTATATGCATTTTATTGCTCTGAAAAGGGGAATATTTCTTTAGCTGCTAAAGGAATATTAAACCTACTCAATCTTCATTCATTGGAGGCCAAGCTGTAGATCCTGGATATACAGGAGTTGCAGTGGTGACAAAGTGTGTATAAAGTCTTTTTTTCTATGGGAATATTCCCCCCTTTAGCTAGTATCTAAGCTAGTTCCCTCTACTACAATTAATGCGCCAAGTAGAAATTAGCAACAGTATTTTTAGTATTCCTATGGCTAATGGTTGTACTGTGTACAGCCATTATTGATGACGATTTCGTCATATTGAAAACGATTTTAATGGGCGTTGACTCATATCAAATTAGAGTGTAGTCATCCTGCAGTGCAGATTAAAATGATCTGATGATTATGATGGATAAGGACTTAAATGACGTGGCTACACTGGCTAGTTGGCTACATTGGTGCGGTCTGCGTCACCTGCGTAGTTCCAAGAGTCAGTGTCTCTGAATCTTCAGATCTGGATTGTATCCTTGTCTACTGGTAATAAGGTTTAAAGTAGCGTGAATATTCACTGGCAGGTTTGACGATGGTGGCTTGCTTAAACAGACCATACAGCCCCAAGAGGTCTCAGGTCATCTCTGAACTTCAGATCTGGATTGTATCCTTGTCTACAGGTAATAGGGTAGAAAATGGAGTAGCTTCGCACTGGCTGGGTCAGTGTCGCCGACGGTGGCCTGCTTGAACATTGGGCCAACATGTACCTACAGTTCCAAGAGCTTTGGTCTTTAACTGGAGGTCAATCCCTGTACTGTAACGCTTTGTCTACTGGTGATAAGATCTAAAATGGCGTGGCTACTCACTGGCGGGGTCAGCGTCGCCGACAGTGGCTTGCTTGAACAGAGCATACAGCTCCAAGAGGTCAGCATCACTGGGCAGGGACTTTAGGTTCTTGACCTTGGCGGCGGCGGCATCGAATTGCTGGAATCAGAAATCGTTACGCACTGTTACAAGAAAAACTATAATCTAAGATAAGGTGCTCATAACGACTCTGGTTGTATTGTAAGTACCAGCACTTCCAAATAAAAATTAAGTCTTGATACAGTACAGAATAGGGTTAAAATTTCAAAAAAGTTTACACTGTACCAGGCACAAACTACATAATTTTCATTCGCTGAGCTTTAAGACATCGCTCATCGGATCAAAGGTATACCTACGTATCCTCTGAATCACGGGATTATATTTCTTTTCTAACAATTCTATTGTTTCTTTCTTTCTTTCTTTCTATTGGGACATCTATTCTATTCTACCTCATTGAGGTGAAACTGTCAAAATCTCTAACTACTAGACAACAGAGCTTCCGATATTAATTTCATATGCAAACAACACGCAAACGATTCACAAGAACGTGGCGCTTCAAAACTTATTATAAGACGAATCAACAAACTATCATCATACTCGTATTATGTCATACAAGCTATGACGCGAATGAAACCTCTTAAAGTCTGCATAAAAATACATAATTGCCTTAAGTACTTGAAGGTCAGACAGGTTTATGGTAAATTACAAAAAACGTTTGCTGCCTGCGTACAAAGTTCAAGTTTAGCTGTTTTCTTAGAAGTAAAACACTACTTGTAACTTGTTCCAGCTAACATCCTAATTATGCTACACCTAAATAATATTTCTTTATTCAATTCAAAAGAGAGTAATGGCCGTTTTCACCATCAATCCCTAATTTTTAAGTGATCCCTATGAAAACAAAATTCCTGTTATGTGTTACCATAGGGGCCACTTAAAAAGATCACACGTCTATCAGATCTGGACCAAAAATAAATGTGCCAGTTTTAAATTAATTAATTATGTCATGTTACAATCACATGCTACTTCATCACAGTTTTTATTACCTACAATTTAATAAAACCAATCAGAATTCTGTTATCAATTTTAATTTATCTTTCCTGTTTTATAATAACCACCTTTTGCAACAACAAACTACTTTAGGGAATTTTTTTTAAAGCATTTCATATTAAAACATATTTAAAATTTACGTTTGGTTACTTTTGACTCTTAATTAGTCCCAATACCTGACCAATGTCTAGTGAGAACTACATTTACTATAAAATTACTAATTTAGCTTAAAGATGGAAAATACATATTGATTAATTTGTTGCTATTGCTAAGTCAAAATGTGCAAGTGCACAGTGAAAGTCACTCTTATTTCTTGGGCAATAATAGTGACTTCAAAGTAAATAGTTACACCTGATGAGCAGTGTGAAATTATATTATTTGCTCATAGTGCCTTACCTCGTAAGCAACAGAAAATAACAAAAGTAAAATATTTATATGGCAATAAAATATTTATTGCGCTTAGCATGTTTCATACAAAGATTGGGTAAGTATGAGATTTGAAAACATACATTATTTTGTAAAAGTTAAAAAGTAATCAATTTAAATCATCAATCCTTACTAATGTCTTCTGATAAAGGAATTAATACCTATTATCGTGGGACAAAGGTTGATGTCTGCTTAATTTTTTTCCACCTGGCAGTTATCCTCGTAGCGCCCACGCGCCTTTTGATAACCCAAAATAAACATGGCGACTACAGCCCAGAACTTTTTTCAACTAACTTTCAATTACCGCCCATGCGCCTTTCAGAAGGCCATATTATTAAACTTTGTCTAGATTTTTGAAATTTCGCGGCTTAAAGAAATAATTTAATTCGATTTCTGAACGAAATATTAGGGAACAGTTTCCGGTATGCTACCATTGGCTGTCACAATTGACAGATGGGATTTTTTGAAAAATGGCCGGCGGTATGGACGGCTCACTAACACGTACTTAGTAAATCGCATTTTTTTATGATAATCCGTGGTTGTCGAGTATGTTTTTATGCAAAAAGTTGCTAACGAATAGGTATTACTTAAATAGAGATAATTACTTTGCATTTTTAGGGCAGAAATTCTGCGAAATCTTGGTTTGAAATAATATGTACTTTGTGAAGGCGGTTGGGTCGAAGCAAGTACTAAAAATATCATNGGAATATTACTAATATAAAAATGCAACTTATCTTTCACTAATAATTAATTTAATTAATTAATTATTTGTCGGCCGTTTGGTGTAGTAGTTCTAAAAGGGACTACTATGCCGAGAGGTCCCGGGTTCGATTCCCAGCCGGGCAGAAATTGAAATGATGAATTTTAATTTCTGTGATGGGTCTGGGTGTTACTAGTATAATATGTATGTATTTAAAACGTATATAATGTAGTATATCCGTTAAGCGAGCACCCATAACACAAGCATATTAATTGCTTACTATGGGGCTAGATAGCGTTATGTGTGAAATTGTTTAAAAATATTTATTATATTTATTATTATTATTAATTTAATACTCTTTACACTACTAATTTTTTGTATTATTTAATTTTACATCACTTAATACTTCCTTTTAATCTAGAATTAGTGGCCCAATGGCCTTTGTAAAGAACAAAAGGTAGACAAATAATTGAATTTAAAAACTCATATCATAATTATACCCTGAAAGTTTCACTTCAAACCGGTAACTCTAACACATACGAATTTCAACTCAAAATCTTGGGCTGATAGGACTATAACTATAAGTCCTATAAGAAGGACGGTCGGGTCGTAGTTAAAGAGGATCCAAAAAATCCGTGGGCGCTACGAGGTTATTAGATGAATCATTGAAAGATTCCATGAATTTAGTGCAGTGAGTCACTAATGCTAATAGTTGAACAGATTTTGATACAATACATAACATTAACATACATAATTATTATTAATCTCAAAAATAGAAACTGCAATAAGTAAACACAATGTAATCAGAAATTAAATTGATTGAATAAATAATGTAGGTAAGTATCAAAAGTTACTAACAAATAGATACAAATTCCAGAAATGAAATTTCATTTTTCAAATACACAGCTTTATCAGGTCAATGTCAAATCAATAACTTATCTTATATAAATGACTCATAGAATAATGGCACTGAAACAAAATTTAACAGAAACTAGACATGATAATCTAACCCTGGTAACTTGGTTTCTGTGTTGTTTATAAATAGTTATCAGGTCTAAAAATGATTGATAAAAACTTGTTTTAAACTTATCTGTTTCTTATTATGCAGTTATTTCAATTACTTTTAAAAATATATTTTATTACTCACCTCCTGGAGAGACATGATGTGTGGTCTTGGAAAAGGTGGGGTACCTATAAAATGCAAATTATAACTTTACACAATGTACAGGTCAAACTTTTCGTTGAATTATCTTAGGAGAAAAAACTTTCGCAAAATAACCTCTAAAAAGTGCCGACAACTGATGGCCACATAACACATAAAATCGATTTACAATGACTATGCAAAGGTATTTTAATCAAAGATGAACTATTGTTGAACAGTGAAATACAATTAAAAAGCGATTATGATGAACACGTCACAACTTACTGAAGTAGAAATGAACACGACTGCACGACCCGGTAACCCGTTAGGAACTAAATAAAACTACTTCGCGTCGCGCTGTACAGAGATTATTCAACAAACGGCCTTTATCGTTGCGTTTCATGTAGCACCGTAAAATATAAACGGAGGGTAAAATCGAGCGAATAATTGTAAAACTGGCTTTGTAAAATTTTTTGAGAGACCGTCTCAGACTGAAATATGACGTAAATGACGTTGATGACAGATGACAGAAGTCATTTACAGAACTGTGAAATCGTATTGGTCTCTATTGTACTGAAAATAGATGTCAATATTCATCGATGAATTGGAGGGTTCATGTTTATGAGAAATGTTCTGAAATCGTTTGAAATCCAAAAAAAATCTTTAAAAAAAATTGGAGATAAGTTCAAAAAAGGAGACGAAGTCCAATGTCCATTGTCCTGTCCTACAAGCGGTACCCTGCACAGATGGGTACCTACTTATTTAAAACACTTGAATACTGAAGGGCCATTGCAAATTGCAATGTGTGAAAAAGAAAATACAAAATGAAGAAGACATGCCGTTTTATGGCTAATATGGCTAACTACTTACCCACAGTAACAGGTAAGAATGTGTAAGTACATAATGTGTTTTAACCAAGTACTTAATTAATGATATTGTGATCTGATAGTTTGTCGAAATCTAACTTTATTCTTAGTTATCAGTTCTATTCAAACCATAACTTACTTATTTAAGTAAGTAAGTACCTATTACTTTTATTACCGATTCTGGGCCATAAACCTGTACCATAAGACTGTGAATGAATGCGGTAGAAAGAAAATGCATTTCCTACCTACATCAAGTAAAATTAGCAAGCGAAGACTTTACGGGTAATCAAACTCACCAAGAGACCTCTTGCATCATTGCAGTGACTAAGATTTTGTGAAATGAACATAAATTACAATGAACAATGGATGGATTTCCCTTGATCCTTTGCCCTTGCGTGATTACTTGTTAGTTTGTAAAACTTTCCTCAATAATTACCTGAAAACTCTAAAATCATTGTTTTTAAATATTTAATTACTTACCCTATTCACATAATTGTGAAAAGGTTATTTTTTCATGCGAATCCGGCGATGCACGATGTAACATACCTACTTAGCGTACATAAAGTAGCTTAGGTACTTAAGTAAGCTCAGATCATAGATATGATCTGAGGTACGACGAGTAGGTACCTAGGCACTTGGTAGTTTCTCCAAATTCCTCCTTTCAGAGATATGAGTAGGTATCATTTTTTGCATCCATTTTTATACCTATTAGGCTACCATACTATAAGTACCCTAGGTCTAATATAGGTCTAGGTTTAACTCTCACTACTGAGTTACTGTATTATCGTTGGTCAGATAGTAGAGTCATCATCATCATCACTTCAGCCATAGGACGTCCACTGCTGAACATAGGCCTTCCCCAATGATTTCCATGTGCACAAGGTGGACCGACGACATCATAAAAGTAGCAGGGAAGCGCTGGACGCAGGGCGCTACCAATCGATCAACATGGAAAGATAGGACTCGGACTATAGAGTACCTAAGACTGTTATTTATTTTGTGATAGCAGTTGTATTTTTTTTTCTAGAAAAGTGGCATGGCCCCTGGACAATGTCCCCCCATTGACATCCACAATGTCATAGGAGTTCCAACTAAAGCGCAGCTTACCAAGGTATCGTGAATTTGCTGAGTAGGTAAGTATGTTCTCTCACTTTAAATAAGTTTTGGTCTTCCCGATGTATCAGACTTTTGAGCTACTTACTCTACAACTAAGAAGTTGCTGAACACTAATTTGGATGTTTTTCGAAGCCCACATCATAGTGATCAAAGACTAAAAAATAAGTAAAACAAAGTTTTCGGTGAGAAAGTATTTAATTAATAAATATATTTTTTAGAAAACTTAACAATAAAGTCTAATTTCTAAGTTACTCTTCAGTTGCATTAGATAGAATAACATTTGACAGCCCGAAAAAAGAATTACGTTATGTGCAGCCAAAAGAGCAACTAAGAAATCAGTGGCAGTTTAATAAATAGGTAAAGTTTTATTCTAGAATTTAGGCGTATTTGGACTGCCACTGTTGGGAAAGGTTGATGTACTCCTTCTTGGCGTCTTCCTGGGACATGCCCTTGCGGCCTTTCCATGCGTTGAACTTGGCCTTCTCTACCAGACCGCTGGGCTCGCCTGCAAAAAAAATGTTTTTATTTGAATCTTTCCAGATGATTTATCAGAAGGCTAAGGGAGCTTGTCACTTGTTGTAATGTATTTTTCGAAAATGTTGAGTGAGATGTTACTAAGCCGATTTGGAAAATCTAAGGACATCAATGTAAGTACGATTAAATGTAGCGATCTTGATAGAATAGATGAACTGCTTCCCTTGTGCTGCTTGAAGATCAAGAGCCAAGCTAAGTTAGTTTCTTTAGATTAGCTCGAATAGCTAATTCAGTTTCCATGGTGTATTGAATAGTTTGCAGTCTGCACAATACTATGGGAAACTGCGTTAGCTATAGAATTTGGCTGAACTAACTTAGATTAGTTCTTTGGGCTGCAACTGGCATAAGCCTCGTTGCGAAAATTTTGAGCTTGAATTTCAAGCTTTTCAAGCCTTGTTTGCCCGGTCACTGATGATAGTGAACGCAGCCTGGGACGTCCACCCACAAGGTAGACAATCAGAAATTAACCAATAATATCATAACAAGAGGACATTTAAATTAAAGTACGTCTTTGTTACACTTTTTCTAGTTGCATAAATGTCTAAGAACGTTTGCATAAAATAAAATGTTATTTTATAACCTCAAATTTTTCTTTATACAATACAGTTTCGTAATATTTTATTGATCTTATTAGGTTTTTTTCAAGGCCCTCTTGTTTTCTAACATTACTAGCTTTCCGCCCGCGGCTTCGCCCGCGTGGAATTTTGTCTGTCACAGAAAATTTTTATCGCGCGCGTCCCTGTTTCAAAAACCGGGATAAAAACTATCCTATGTTCTTTCCCGGGACTCAAACTATCTCTATGCCAAATTTCATCAAAATCGGTTGCGAGGTTTAAGCGGGAAAGCGTAACAGACAGACAGACAGACAGACAGACAGACAGACAGACAGACAGACAGAGTTACTTTCGCATTTATAATATTAGTTGGGATCTATTGATTTTACACGAGAAACCACACTGCGTTTTATATTTCTTATGCAAAAATTACATTCAAGGTCTTTTCTAGACATAATATAAATTAGTTATTAAAATAATTTAAACGCCATTTTCATTTACCATTATCTAAAGTTGATTTAGTGTTAAAGATCATAATGTTTTCTAAATTAAGTTCCTCTTTAATAAAAAGTGTCTTACATAGATCTTCATGAAGTTAAATAAACCTTAGCTGTAAAAATAATTATTAGTCTTAAATAAGTAGTCAAGATATCTTCAACTCTATTTCCTTGTCTACAGTCATACTACAAGATATACAGTGTGTCCGGGCTTGTAGTGATCAAACTTTAATGGCGTAATCTATGGACAATTTTATCGATGAAAATACTTCATTAACACTAGAGTACACGCGCGGACTACTATAGTAGACCAGGGTAACATTTTACGCTATAACTTTTTGAAAACTTTCGCCAGAGAGCTGGCATTCCAGGAAAGCCTAGTTTACTAAATTTGTCAGTAAGCCAGTAAAGCTTGGGTTGCTAGAGTCTGCGCACTTTTCTAAAATTGGCCGTCAAAACTGCGGGTCTACTCAAAAGCCCGAAATCACTCGACAAAAAAATTATAAAAGACTTGCAACAAATGGATTTACACCGTGTACCAGGCCGTAGAAAGTCATGAATACTATGACAGATAAAAAACTAATCATATTTTTTCAGTAAATTTTTTTTTGTTAGCATTGGTCTCAGAGTGCAATTTTGGTCCAAAAAATTTACAACTTTTAAATCTGTTTATAATGTTTGATCCCAAATAGTTATATAAAGAAACTTTGATAATAAAATAACTATAATAAACACTTTTATCATTTACATAATTATTCTATTCATAAATTGCTTACAAACTGATTTACAGTGATTTTAAATTGGCTTACCAGAGTAGGCCGCGCGTGTATTCGTGTAAAAAAAGGGGCGCGTGTACTGCAGTGTTAATGTTAAGTTGGGTACGTTTTCACTTGTTTTTGAAGGAAGAGGTGAAAACTAAAAATTAAAAACTTAAATCCTCGTAATTTTGCGAAAAATGGGTCAAGCCCCAAATTTGAAGTATTTTCATCGATAAAATTGTCTATAGATTACGCCATTAAAGTTTGATCACTACAAGCCCGGACACACTGTATTATAGTACTTGTTTAGAAATTCTTAAAACTACACTCTTTATTAGAGTTTAAGTCTGCCTTAAGCGTTGTCTTAACTCTGTCTCAGTGATCTCCAAAGGATTGTGCCCTTTTTTGCTTACCATTGTCTTGGGGCATAACTTCAAGATTTCTTGAGTGCGACTATTGTCTTGGCCAAGACAACGGCTAGAATTAGGCTACTAGTCTTCAAGATATCTTCAATGTCTTATGAAGATAATCTGTTGCTACTTGGGTGAAATGATAATGATGATGATGACGAGTGATCTTACCAATGTTGACGTCACCGACGGTGGCTTGCTTGTACAGAGAGTACAGGGCGAGGTTCTCGTTGTCAGAGGGCTTGGTCTTCCAGTTCCTGACGGAGGTGGCGACGGATTGGAATTGCTGGAATCGAAAGAAATCAGTTATTTAGATGACTGTTACGTAAGTAGCTAGGTAGGTAGGGAAATTTCAAAAGTAACCACAATTAGGTGGCTGTAGAAAGTGAAATTCATGACGCTGATTGTTCTTCATTGATTGATTTACCAGAGTTGTTCATAATTATAGCCAATATTATACCAAATGAGATTTCAGATGGATTTAGTCCGGAATAAGAGTATTTTGGTTAAAATTGCAAAAGTAGATCATTGAAGTAAAAGTAGATTTACTAACCTCATCGAGAGACATTTTGGGTTAGGTTGATGAGATCTGAAACAAATCGAAAATCTAGAATTAGGTAGGTTATGAGACTGAGTTGTACCCTGAGCACGAATAACTCTCGTAATCTCTAATGGGGATGTTGCCTGGGTCAAAAAGCAAGAGTTTTAATTAGTCCGTCAGTTAACTTATCAAAAAATACTCTACGCGTATTTTTCAC